TTGCCAGGGTTCCGTTTTGGGGTTACCCTACTTTTGACCCACGGCCAAATGGAAAAGGGGGAATACAACAGCAAACTGCATGGGTCTGAGCTTCCCAGCGAAGCGTGTAGACAAGGGTTGCCCCATGTGATGCGTGGGATTCAATCCTTGCTGGTACCCCTCTCTTTTTTTTGGGATGTTCTGTAGGGGGTTTGTTGACCGCACATGCACCCTTCCACTGATGGCTGGGAAACCTATGTAGGTCAAGCTTTGGAGCAAAGTAGTCCGATGATATTTTCAATTTGTTCTTGGTTTGTCTTGGGGGGGGTCATAACTTTTCAGTGCACTATGGCTTTTGATGGGAAAATTGGGCCCCTTACCGGCGGTCCAACTGGGTCCAGATCCTCGCTCTAACACAAATGGTGGAACGGAAGCCACATTTGAATGAGTATTGAGTAATTTTTGGAAGAATCCCCGCAACGATGATACTTTCCGACCCCCAAAATGGGCGGGCTTCCCTCCCTCCACCCAAAACCAACTTTTTACGACCTCAAAACGTCGCCACTTCCGGCCCCCCCAGCCGCAAGCGCGCCTTGGCGTTGGTCTCCAGGGCGGTGCGTAAGGCTTGGGCCCAGGTCTGGATCTCCGCGTTGTCGTCCATGTGCAGCTCCTTACGGATCGGCATGCGCTCGGAGTTGTTTTTGTTGGTTTTGCCCCCATGTGTTCTCTGACTTGCCGAGGGAATTGGACAGAAAAGCCGCGAAATTGGTCTTCTCCTCCCCCCCCCCCGGTCAGAAAAAGAAGTCCATGAAGTCAGGAAGTGAGTTAGATACGCCATGTGTAAGCTTTCACCACCAAATAGAATGGTGAACCCTCACGAAATCAACGAGGTCGACCGTCCTTAGTCGGCGAGGTCTCACTTTTTGCAAAGTCGTGGAGGAGCATCCGTGTCCCATTTCCCCAGATTTTCATGAGGGCAGGGCACAGTCACTCCCACAGCAATGCCGCCCTCGAGTCGCTGAGTCTCTCCCCACGCTGCAAAGCTCAAGCAGGGCAACTCAGTAGGTTTATTGCCCTCTCGCCAATGGAAGCGAGTGGGGGGGCTTCCCCCAAACAAAAATAGCCTTCCAAACGTACCCGGGAAGGATTAAGTCATTCTACAATTTTTAGGGAGATTCCTTCCATTGCTCGAGCCCTCAGGATTCCAAACTCAACCCTCTGAGGATTCAGATTCCAACTAATTGGTGGTTTGGATTGGTCTGGAGGCGCCGTCAGGTTGGTTTTCCAGCCCTCTACAAGTACCTGTTGTTCAAATCCAAATCCAAGCCACCAGCCAGACCTCCAACTAAGGCTAGTCTGAGAAAGTGTGTTTTGGGGTTGAACAGGGACAGCACAAGGACTGGAAACCACCAAATGTTCCCAGCAATCCACCGAACCAACTCAGGGGTATCGCGAACAATTTGGTTTTTGCCAAGTCATTTTGGATAAGATCTGTCCTGATGAGTTTGTTGCTCACCTTGTGAAATTCCGACAACCTGGGCTGTCCTCAGATCCCCCTCTAAAAGGTTTAACTTTTGGTGAGTTCACTGGAAATCCCCACTAAACACTAAAAGGCTAAAAGGCTAAGGGGATGGCTGGGAGCCACCAAGCAACAAGTTGCCTGAGTTGGATTCTTGGAGCCTCACAAGGGTCTTCTGGGCTCAGATTCCAAGGCTCCAAAATGAGATGCGGTGCTCCACCCGCCGATCCCGGCGAGAGAATGGACACCTTCTCACTGTCTGCGCACACACTGCCGGCCTGGCAAGGCCATTGGGTTCAAATGCATGACATGTTGAATGGAGGAGGGTCTGGGAAAACACATCCACATTGGGAATATGAGCTGTTCAGCCCCTGTAGCATGATGAACACCTTTGTCGGAGACTCCAAGCGTTTCCGATTTCAAGGCGCCCAGAAACCAAGTGGGCCCACTACCTTTTAGGGAGACCCCAAAGAGGCTTTGGGTTTGCTTTTGCCTTTCCCTTAAACAACAGGGCTGCGCGAAATGAAGAATTTCTGGTAACAGAAAGGGCTTCCCAAATACGACTTACCCCCCCATATAAAGGGGGAGGTTCCCTTGTATCACGGAAGTGGGAATAAATCTCTTGATCCCACCACCCTGTTTAACAACCACAAACAAGCTCGGAAGCTTGTAAGGACCCTGGACCTCGCGCCGCGAAGCAGCCAGGCAGCCAACAAAGCAGGCAGAAATGCTTGGGGAGTTGGACCTGGATTCCGCTGGTTTCCCAAAAAGAAACCACACAACCCAATCAGCTTTCCTGGAAATGGGAAATTGGTGGTTTGGGGACAGGAACAGGTTCTTGTAGATATGGAAATTTATGCTTAAGATCCAAAGCACCAAACCAAACCATGTTTGTGCCGAGGAGAGCTGAATAAAAGGTAGTCTGAACATGACACAACCCCTCATTGTTGTCTTTTTCGGGTTTTTACTCCTGTTTGGGTGGTCGGTTTTTCAAGGGAACCCCCCCCCAAAAAAAAAAACGCTTCGCCCGTTTTTTTGGCTGCTGGCCTTCCGGAGGTCCAAGGTTTTCCGCTCCCCGAGGCGCATGCGCCCGCCGTCCAGGGACGCGTGCTGCAGAATCAGCAGCGGCACGTTGCGCCGGAAGCTCACCTTCCAGGGCGAGCGCTCGGGTTAACCCGAAAAGGCCCCGGAAAAAAAAAGCGTGCTGACTCGGTGCCAACTCTAGCCTGAGACAAGAGTCATATTCAAAACCCGGTATTGAATTGGACTACCCAGAACCATGTAAAGAAGTAAGAAGGCGGATATCCGCGGCTATTTATGGTTGGGATTGCCCCTTACTATCCTTCGAAAAGGAAAAACAAAAAAAAAACGCGCTGACTCGATCTCAATTTTTGGCCTAGCCTGAAAGGCCCAAATTCGGGCATGGCCTTTTTGCTTGCTTGCTTCAATGCCAGTGGTAACCAAAACCTCCCACTGGCCCAGGATCAGTCAGCTTCTATGGCAACGGGGAGGCCCCAGTTGGGTTTTGAACCCACTGGAATCAGCTGCGGCACTTGGAAACGGAATCCCTGGGGTTGTGGCCATTGATTCCTTAAGTCCTTGGGGGTTCCAAAAGCCAAGCCGCAACATGGGAACCTCCGTTCCGGGTTCTTTGAGGTTCGTGTGTTGACACGAATTTTGCCAACCACCTGGTTGCCTTGCCTTTGATTTTGGGGAAATCCCAACTCCCCGCTGGCAACGAGAAAGGGGGAAAGCAAACCAAACAGAAAACACATACACAAAAACACACACCAGAAACCATCACAATAAACCCAGGTGGTATCCCCAACAGCCCCGGAACCTCCGGAACCTTCCCTGGAAGCGGCTCACCAGAGCCAATCCGGGCAGAGAGCAAAGACCCACAACTTCCAGCTGTTGGGGGGGGGGGGGGAAGCAAACAAGGAACACAACTTGGTTGACATTGGAAGGGGAGCACAAAAATATCTTTTGGCAGCCAAATGGGGATTTCCCACTAAACCACACTAAGCCAACATGTAAAATGTTTCCCAACAACAATCATGACAAGACACCCCAACAAACCCATGACAATTTCAAGACCTACTCCTCACAAGACCCCAGCAAGCAACCCAACTCGCCTGGCAGACCTTGGCATCCTCTTGAGGGAAGGCAACCACCATGGCCTGCTCCTCAGGATTTCGAACGTGACAAAAGAGACCCCCCAAACCGAGAAACGACAGAAAACGGGGAAAAGAGTGGTCCGTGGTCTCTGGGGATTTGGTCCATCCCAACTTGGGAAGGGTGGTTGTCAACAAAATCTAAAACCTTTTGTTGAGCCGCCACTACGTGCCTGTCAAAGACAACCCCACTAGAGCAGGAAAAGGACCTAGGGGTCTGAAAACAGCAACTCCCAACACAACAACTCATGGGAAAACGGCAGGTTCCTCTCACACATTGGATCCTTAGCGGTTCCTGGATCCCTTGCAAAAAGTTAAACGTGTAGTGGGAGATATCTCAAACCCCCGTCTAAACTCTTTAAAGTCTCAGGCTGGGAACCGAGGACCTCCTTGGAAAACACCAAAGTGGCCGCAACTCTGCCAAATTGAAAATTTTGAATGTTTAAAACCGCAAAGGGTTTGCAAAGGGAGCGGAGTGCAGCGGTGGAAGTTCCGTGCCCAGATTCCAAGATCTCCCCGCCCGGCGGATTCGCCATGACCGCGCTTCGCGAGTCGCGGATCGCGGCCGGGGCCGGACACTTGGCCCGAGACACTGCGAGAGCTGCAACCTACGGCTGCTAGGTCCTCCAGTAGAGAGGATAGAATAAGGGTAGCCTTTTGCTGTTGTCTCTTTTAGTTGGGGAACCCTCCCCCAAAAAGGGTAAAAAGGTACTACTGCGGGACCTAGGCTGTTATCAAACCTGATGGTGGAGGCTTCCCAAATTCAGCGAAAACGGGCGGATCTCCGCGGCTCTGGCTGGGTCTTGCTCCGATTTCATTTACCTGTCTCTGCGAACCCTTCAATGCTTCATGGAGTTTGGAGAGGGGTGGTTTTCTCATTTTTGTCTGGGGGAATAGCGCTGCAAACAAGCAGCTAATCCTAGACCTCGCAAGCGTGCCAAGTCCACACATCGGGACAAAATCGCTGGGTTCTCCTTTTCCGATCAACCCAAACCAAATGAACATATCCGACGTGGGGTACACCACTCAAACTTTCAGGATCACGACAGCCCGTGACATTTTTCGCGTGCGTAGTTGAACGGAATGTCAAGAGTCATGTTATACCCTGGGGTAGATACCCTGTTGCTAATAGAGGTATTCCACTGTTCAATCGACCAAACTAAAATCAGCGAAATCCATCTATACCCAAGCAACATATGCCAAGAAGCACCATAGAAAAAGCTTCCCCATACAAGCACCTGGACTCTAAAGAGCTCACAAAAAATCTTCCACAACTGTTTCAACTCCATGAACTCACCCGGCCTGGGTCGATGCCCTGCTTGGCATTGAAGCCTGGGGCCAAGGGAACAAGGGTTCCCGGGATGGCCAAATCGAGTAGATGCAAAATCGGAGCCATGTAGTTTGGGTTTGATCCCCCGACTTAACCTTTGGTGGGATAACATTAGCTCTGAACTCTATACAAAGAATATTTTGGTTATGAGCTGGAAACTGCCCTTATGGATGTGGAGTGCCAAACCCCGAGGCTGACACGAGACAAAGAACTAGGGACTCTCGACTGGGAGGCTAAGGTGCCCCGACATCCACCCGTGCAAACTTTTTCCCTGGAAATCGGAGGACCTTAGCTAGTACCAGTTTCGACTCACCAGTGGAAACTGGAAACCCCCACGCCTCCCCGACTCCCTGGAGTTGGGGAAGCAGGGTCAGCTTTCCTGGTGGCTTCCTTAGGCCCAAAATCACCAAGGCGGCAGCGAGCACGCAGAATGTTGCCGTAGATGTTGTCCGCACCTCAGCGATCCGCGCGAAACCCTCCCAATGTGCTATACGGGTCAGTGTCGAAAACGGGGCTTGCGAGCCCAACATGGCTTCGGACTTCCTGTTGGATTCCCTCAAAAGCCAAGCTGAAAAGTACCAACTCCAAGAGGACAAACTCAGCACCTTCCCCCCCCACCCCAGTTTCCCAAGTGCAAGGCCGGTGCATGAGTTGCTGTTGCTTCAGTGCAGCAAATGTTGGCTTTGCAAGTAAGCGGCGAACATCCAACTCGTAGGAAACTATCGAACTTCTTTACCGCCTTCCCGTTTCTTGAGGGGCGGAAGTGGAGGGCCTGGAATGTAGCGACAGCCACGGTCAAAATTCCTTTCTTTTTTCAAGAAGGACATGGACATATTGGTGTGGTTTGTCAGTCTTGCAGGACCTTTGATCGAACGCCCCTCATGTCCCTCCCACTGAACCGTCGGCCAGTAATTTTGACCCAGCCCCATATATATATATATATATATATATATGTACTTTTAATGGGGACCCTTTGGTGGAGATCAGTTGGGGATTTGTCCACCAACCACTTTTGAAGGGGGTCCCTCTAAAAAATGATGGATGGTCCTCCGGAGGCATCGCGTTTCCGCAAACTGGGCCGCGGCTGGTGGTGGAGGGAAGCACCTCGAGATGGGAGAGATAGGCGCGCACTGCAAATTAACATAGAACACAAGACTGCGTTTGAGAGGAATCTTTTTCTTCTATCTGTCGGGCTGCAGAAAGCATGTGCAAACACAAAAGTGACCAGCGGAAACTATCCCAGCTCCCAGAAACCATGTGGCTGTGGGTCAAAATTGGGTACCCAAAATGGAACCCTGGTAAATGGAACCCATGACTAAAATAGGCGACCTTGTGGTGGTTTAATTTTGACCCACACCCAGGTTAACCTGCAGGAGTGTAGCACACCAACGAAAAATCCCAGCACTCGGCCCGGATACTTTCGGGTTCCAGGCTTCCGTGCTCGCCTGGGGAGCCCGTCAAGTGGGTCTCATGCCTTCTCGCGAATTCCAACATGGCCATGCTTGAGCGAAAATGTCCTCGTGAGTGATCAAATCAATGGGTGGGGGTTTCTCCAGCCAAACGCGAATGATCAAAACTGGAGGGGGACCCTTTGGGGGGAACCCTCCGTGCAAAACAAGGGAAACCCTGGAAGTTGCCGCACTCCCGGATTCTTCTGGTTGGATGTAGTTGGTTCACAGGTGACATTGAGGGAACTGCACGTCCTCCTCGAAACCAACCGCCCAACATCGAGCAAAGTTCACCACACGGAAATCACCCATTTCTAGACACTTCTCTGACCTCCTCTTTTCCCGCGATCGTGATCAAGGAACCGTTGACCATCTTTGTCGCACAACATCCCGTACCGGTATGGGCCGCCTGACCAGGGGCCATTACATATTTCCTCACCTCAATCATTGCACCATTTTACTTGAGGCTTTTAATTCTTTAATTGATGGACTAACTCATTCATCCGGTTGGTGTCTGGGCTACCCTGTGCCACGGTGTGATTTGACTGTCCATTTGGACAATTCGGTGGGCTTGGAGACACGAACCGGACGCAACAGCCATTTCACTGGGAACCTTTGGCTCGCTTGGCACGAACCACCTCAACGCTTCCTTCCGTTGTCCAACCCTGCGGCACCAAAGAACCAAAAAACTAAACAACGCGTGTTCAGGCGTTTCACGCTTAGAAGAAAACAAATTGGAGAAGACCCCAAGAATATGAAGCCATCTAGCTTCCCAGCTACTGGCTACCGTGCTTTACCCTGACATATAAATACCCGAAAATTCTCATAAGGAGACGTTCTCGGGGACACCTTCTCGGTGCCCGTGCCATGTTGAAGAGGAAGAACTTGGACTTCAGCCTCGTGGCGGCGCAAGCGATCGACTTCAATGCATGTCTCCTCGCTACCCTCCCACCAAGTAACCGCCGGAACCTGACTTTCGGGACCCGGTCCCTTCAAAAGGAACATGGTCCAAACCACACGACAAACGTCAGGTGTTCCGGTACTGAACCTTCGAAATTTAAATAGGTGTCCCTTTGGAATCTAAAACAACAAGCAACAGCAACAACAACCACTGTTTGTCGTGTTTGTGAGGCCTCACAAACCCAAACAGAACACTTCATATGGGCATGGACTTTTTGGAGTTGGTACCCTTTCAGGTTGAAAGGGGCAAAGGGACAACCCGTTGTTGCGGTCCCCTATTTTGACACATACCCTACTTCCAACCTAAAAACATCACCCCTATCAAGGGAAACCTCGCAGGAAGGGGCCAGAAAGGGTTCAAACCACAAGGGGAAAATTGTTTTCTAGAGAAATGTTCCGAAAAGGTTCTCTCCCAAAATGCATTCCCAGAGCTCGCCATGGGCAGAGAAACCAAAGAAACATCAAAGAGTCCTCGATTCTGGGAAGGTGAGAGAAACCGAATAGCCAGGGCAGGCGATTGATTGCAGATCCCACTGGGCAAGCGCGCCGGTTTGGAATGTCCTCGGTGCGAGCTCGCCGACATCCGATCCGCACTCGGAATGTGATCAGCTGGATACATATGGGGTCAAACAATCTTACTGTGCTCTTACTGTAACAGGAATGTATTTGTGTAACATCTTGTAAATCAAGATTTGGCGAATCCTTCTATTTGTGAGCGAACTGAGGGCATCTACATTGCAACAAGTTTTGTTCGCTAAAAGGTCGAAGACTAAACATCAAACCAAGTAGCAGCCAAGTCATGCGGGTTTGCGGCGGTGATTTCTGAGTCGCTCGGTCGAATTCCAATTTCACCGGAAGGGAAACTGTTGGGTTGACCCATTGGCCTGCTTTTTCAGGCAACCACCATCTGGCAGGATCAAGGATTGCTTTTGAACGACCTAGCAACAGCTGGCCCATTCTTTCACCGCTATCAAAGTCAGCCCCTAAGTGGTACGCTAAAGGGCAACACCAAATGAATATATCCTTGCAAAGGCCATGCACATACAGATTTGTAAGTTACGCTCCTGCAGATTGACGCAAGGAACCCACAAAGCGATCCATGTTTCTGGGAATCCGACCGACCGCCTTCGTATCTCAAAAGGTAGGGGTTCCGGCAACTGGTTTGGGTTGCCACCGCGCGATGAGCAAAGACCCCATCCCAGTCTAGTGACCCTGTCAAGGAGGACCCATTTCGGGGTGGACCATTTGTAGCGTGTAAACCAAAAAGGGAAAGCGTATCACCAAACAACTGGTTCCCGCGGAACCGCCCAGAAACGGCATCCTTCTCTTTGCTGTTCGCGTGCAAAGCTGAAAAAGCAAAATAATAAAGTTCAACACGAGGGTTGTGGACCAAGCCACGCTTGTTGGTGGGATTGTCCACCCGGATTTAGGTGGCTAGAAATTGGGGATGTTGCGAAGGTGAGCCAGATCCCTTTTGCAACGCGTCACGCCGTCGGCCATTCCAACAAGAGGTTATGAGTCCCAGGCTCCAGTCCCTACAAGGGCCTACACAAATGAAATGAGGCTTTGGGGTAGCAAGCCAAATTACCTCAGAAATAATTAATCATGTATGCAATTACTCAGCCCCTTCCCAGTCAGGTCTTTCAAGCATCCTTTCCACTCTGTCGTTTCAAGCAAAGAGGCCTGAGGTTTGGAGGGTGTAAGGCAGTGACATTCCAATTTTGAACCTATCATATTATTGAAACAAGCATGTTTTGATCTCAGGAATAAAACATGCTTCCTGGGACCGCCGAATCCCATGACCACATCGAACCGCGGATGGCAGGGGTCAGTGCCTCTTTTCAGATCTGCGGGAAACAATCAGGCTGCACCGAGCGCTCCGATCTCGGCAAGCCTTTCAACGTGCGAATGAAAACATTCGACCCCCGACCCTCAATGAACTCGTTGTCCCAAGATGGCGAGGGCAAGCAAAAAATGGTATGAATCCGCATGGGGTCTCCAACAATAAACCCGCATGAGTGTGCCCCCCTTTTTTCAGAAGGGGCCACTTCTGACACCATTGGTTTCACCCATTCCTCATTTGGGCCCAGAGGGCATGATATAAAGGTATACTCGCTTGCGACAGCCTGTGCTGAGCGCTTAGGAAAATTCTGCTCAGCATTTGTCGTCGTCCGAATCCTCCGAGATAAAGACCTGACAAAGATCACTCGATGACGTTGCAAATGGCCAACCGTCCTTACAACCATGGTTGATCTGTTGCCAGCTACCTGCAAGATGGACCAAAAGGAAACCCTCCGTCTGCCAAAGGGTAGGGCCATACTCCAAGGCCCCTTCGCTGCCAGTTTGCTAACGTTGCAAATGGCCAACCGTCCTTACAAACATGGTTGATCTGCTGCCAGCTACCTGCAAAATGGACCAAAAGGAAAGCCTCCGTCTGCCAGAGGGTAGGTGGCCATACTCCAAGGCCCCTTCGCTGCCAGTTTGCAAACTCCACATCTTCTGCACCCCGAACACTGCTGTTTAGAGAGGAGATGTTGGATCATGGGAAAAGCAGTTGCGGATGGTGGTTTGCCAATCTAAAACGCTACCCTGTTTTGGTATGAGGCGAAGCAGAGCCTTGGAAGGTCCGAGTTCCTGGCATGAGCTTCTGGTTCGATTTTGTGGGGAGTGAGATTCAAAGGGGTTTCAGGAGGTTTTGGAAATAAGTTTTGGAAGTAAGGACGGTTGTATACCGGGGTATTCCCGATCACCCAACCCTCAGAGGGATTCAACTTGTTCTCTTGTGGGCATCTCTCAAATCGAAGAACATGTCCTGTTGGTTTTCTTTCTGGCCTCCATGTCCTCGTAGCGCTGGACCTTTGCACGCTGCTTGCGGAACATCCAAAAGAGGCCCGCGTTGCAGCAACACAGCCTCGCAGAGAGTGGCCGGGCCGGGGCCGACAAGCCAGCGCCCCCACGTGGGCGTCTTGCTGTTTGGGAACGCCAGTTGCGACAGAAATGGAGTTTGGCGGAGGCTACGGGGAAGCAAAAGGACGCACGTTGTGTAGCCCTGCAACTGGTGGCTACTGTCCTGGATCAGTTTTTCCTGTGGGACAAAGTCGAAAGGCTTGTCACCCCCAAGGTCACTGATGTGGGCTATGACAACGGCATCACCGCTGGGGAGGGATACTGGATTGTCCCCACGCTCTCCTCCGTCATTGATGCGGATCTATCTCTCTATCTACCTATTGTTTATTTATTTTTATTTGTCCATCTACCTATCTATTTTAGCTATCTATCCCAGCCATTTCCGTTTGAATTGGGGTCAGCCTGATGCGGTGTAGTGTTAAAATTGTGAGGTTCCCGTCGCCCGTTTGTATGGAGGTTCACCGTCCGCAGTAGTCTTTGGTATTGGTCTGATACTGGTTTCGTGCTAGCTAGTCTGGTTTAGAATTAGTTTAGTAATGGCGGACCGCAGCCTTCCTTTTGATGTTGGCTTCCTTTTCCTTCTTTTGGACAGTAATGATTGATCCGCCAAAGAATCAAATGTCGTCTTAAAGGGAGAGACATGCCATTGAAGATGGTGCTCGTGTGAAACCATGTGCGTCAGTATCGGGTATATAGGGCAATGATATGTGTGCATATAAACATTCTTACTACGTGTGTGTGTGTGCCAAGGTATAGGTGCACATTTTTGTTTAATGTAGAAATATTTATAAGTATGCAAGATGTTTATGTATATGTGCATATGTATATTTGTGGCATGTCCCACAGCTTTGCCTTGCATCACCGAGGGAAACTCAGGTGCCAGGTAGAACAGCTGTTCCTTCCCTTTGTGCAGATCTTCCGTGTTCAGTTAACACAGAAACCAGACTTGCTCCGAGCCTGAAGGAAAAAACCAAAGGCTCGAAATGGAGGTGTTTGTCCCAAGTTCCTCGAGCTTAGCTTCCCTGTGGGATTTTCTGAGCTGCACTCCATTATTCCAACGTATTCGTTGGTTACATCAAGTTCTCAGACAGACAGACAGACAGACAGACAGACAGACAGACAGACAGATAGAACGATGGATAGGAATATAAACGAATAGGTAGGTAGATAGATCAAGATAGAAATATAGAAAGATAGATAGATAGATAGATAGAAAGATAGATAGAGTAGAGTAGAGTAGAGTAGAGTAGAGTAGAGTAAATTAGTTTAGATTAGACTAGATTAGATAAATCGATTAGATAGATTAGATAGTGAGATAGATAGATAGATAGATAGATAGATAGATAGATAGAAATATAGATAGATAGATTAGATAGATAGATAGATAGATAGATAGATAGATAGATAGATAGATAGATAGCTAGATAGCTGGATAGATAGATAGATAGGTAGATAGACAGATAGATAGATAGATCAGATAAACAGATTAGATAGATTAGATAGATAGATAGATAGATAGATAGATAGATAGATAGATATATAGATAGATAGATTGATAGATAAGATAAGATAAGATACGATAATATAAGATAAGATAAGATAGATAGATCGATTAGATAGATAGACAGATAGATTAGATAGATAGAGAGATAGAGAGGTAAATAGATTAGATAGATAGATAGGTAGGTAGGTAGGTAGATTAGATTAGATTAGATTAAATTAGATGAGATAGATGGATAGATAGATGGATAGATACATTCGATAGATAGATAGATAGATAGATAGATAAATTAGCTGAATAGATACATAGATAGATAGCTAGATAAATAGATAGATATATTAGATAGACAGATAGATAGATAGGTAGATAGGTAGATAGATAGATAGATAGAGATATAGATCGATTAGACAGATAGATAGGTAGATAGACAGATAGATTAGATAGATAGATAGATAGATAGATAGATAGATAGATAGATAGATAGATAGGTAGCTAGGTAGGTAGGTAGATAGATTAGATAGGTAAATAAGTTAAATAGATAAATTACTGGGTAGGTAGGTAGGTAGGTAGGTAGATAAAGTAGATTAGATTAGATTAGATTAGATTACATTAGATGAGATAGATAGATAGATAGATAGATAGATAGATTGATTACATAGATCTACATACATAGATAGATAGATAGATAGCTAGACAGATAGATAGATAGATTAGGTAGATACATAGATAGATAGATAGATAGATAGATAGATAGATAAGATCGATCGATCGATCGATCGATAGATTAATAGATTGATAGATGCATAGATAGATAGATAGATATATAGATTAGATAGATCGACAGATGGATTAGATAGATAGAGAAATAGATAGGTAGATAGATAGATAGATAGGTAAGTAGGTAAGTAGATTAGATTAGATTAGATTAGATTAAATTAGATGAGATAGATAGATATGTAGATTAGATAGATAAATAGATAGATAGATAGATCGATAGATAGATAGACAGACAGATAGATAGATCGATAGATAGATTAAATAGATAGATGGATAGATGGATAGGTAGATAGATAGACAACTAGGACTAGGATAGACAGATAGATAGACAGATAGACAACTAGATAGACAGATTGATAGATAGCTAGATAGATAGATGGATTAGATTAGATTAGATTAGGTTAAATAGATATATATATATATATATACATATATATATATATAAATAGATATAGATAGATAGACAGATAGATATAGATATATATATATATATAGATAGATACATATAGATCGATACATTAGATTAGATTAGAGTAGACCAGATTAGACTAGGTTCGATAGATAGACTAGAACAGAGTAGATCATATTTGGTCAGCTGATGTGTGATACAATAAAAACAAGTTGAATAGACAGCCCTGTAGATAGACAAATCAATATATATATATATATTCATATATATATATATATACAGTGATCGATAGATATATACATCGCTAGCTAGAAAAAACACACAGCTATGGACACACAATAAACATATTCAGATATGCAGATACATATATAGACCGATTGCATTAGATAAGTAAGGATGGCAAAGCTCAATAAAGAAGGACAGAAAGGACAGGAAGAAAGGACAGGAAGAAAGGACAGGAAGGAAGGAAGGAAGGAAGGAAGGAAGGAAGGAAGGAAGGAAGGAAGGAAGGAAGGAAGGAAGGAAGGAAGGAAGGAAGGAAGGAAGGAAGGAAGGAAGGAAGGAAGGAAGGAAGGAAGGACAGCCACAAGGAAGCACAAGCAAAACGATAATTATATATATATAAACAGCAACAAACAGAAAAAAACACAGGGAGGAATCACGGAAGCAAGGAATAATTAATGCAAGATGACAGAGATAAACATGAGACAGAGCAAAAAGAAAAAGACAAGAGAAAACACAAGAAGTGACAAATGAACACTGTTAGACAACCGGAGCTCTGGTTTTGATTGAAACTTCAGCCCCCGGCTCTGCCGTTTTTTTTTGGGGGTTCCCTTTCTGGGCAGTGCAGCTCGGCCTGTGTGGGTTGAACAAAAACCCCCAGGAACACACATTTTTGGAGCCCCCAGTTTGACCCAACATAAGCTATGGCCTAAATCAAAAAGGATTTGCGGGATTTCGGGGTACTTTAAACAAAACAGTTCAGCTATTCTAACAGCACCCAGAGACATGAACATCCCCCTACCACAAGGGAGAGGGGGGGGTCACCCAATTCCATCTTCTAGTATTCCAACCATCTTTTAGTATTCCAACCATAAAGAGAAAACGGAATTCCATAACTTCCATTCCAGGGGTCGAAGTCTCCTCCCCTCCCCCAATTCTCGGTTGCTTCTTGCTCCCCTGCTAAAAGTTTAACTGTTAGTGGTTTGATACAGAAACTTCCCACTCATCGACAAAAAGGTCAAGTCCGAACATCCCTTGCCAAAATGCACCAACGAAACCTTGGTCGCTGTTGACCCTGAACCACTTTTTGTGGGTCCAAGGGACCGTCCCAGGGTTTCAACCACAAATACTTCAAATTCCTAAGGCTGGGGATGCGAAATTCATCCCACCCTGCCGAGAAGCAGAACCACCAGTGCCCAAAGGATCCAAACCTGCTCGTCGATGCGCTCGACGGTGTAGATCACCGGCATCCGGCTTCCTTAGCTTGGGGTGGAAGCCAAAAGCGACGGGAGTCCGCGTTGCTTTTTTTTGTTGGAACACCGTCCAAAAGTGACGTTTGTGATGGGGGAGTTTGCGTTTTTGTTTTTGTTTTCTCCTGTTTTGGGGGTTCCAAAGAGTTGGCAGTGTTGACTTTCTCCGTATGGGGGGGGGGGGGTTCAAATACAGACTTTTGTTTGCGAGTCTCCTAGAGGTCGTGGCCATTGTGCCATGCCACTTCATCCTAGCGCTTGTCCATCTCTCAAGTCTTGAGCGAGCAACCCTGATTGCAACGTGGGCTTAGGCAACCCTCACGAAACGATTTCGAACCGATGCACCGATAAAAGAATCGAACAGCCGGAGTGACGGGCCTATGCGGGGTCGCCAAAAGACCCTGTGCGCCGTTGAGAGGAACTCAAGACACAGCGTTACAAGAAACTTCGGGCTAGTAGGGTTGGTTCCCATTCGGTTCAACCAGTGTTTTCTTTTTTTTTAAGCAAGCTGGTTTTCATCAGCCTTTCCTAGCGTTGAAAGTAAGGAGCCCTGGAACATGGGAAGGTAACTGGCTTCGATCAAACTTGGTGTCTAAAACAAATGGTCAGAACGCATGCTTGGACCTTCGGAACAGAAGATACGGACGCGGAGAAACAGGTCCACCGCCGAAAAGCTTGCTGTGACGCGTTACAACTACAACTGAGACAAAAAGGCAAAAGAACAGACAGTACATATGGTAATGCTGCGCTGGGTACCCTCATTCAACAAAAACACCACTTATCCCCACAGCGCGGTATACTTGCACCTTGGCGCGAAAAGAAGAAACCGTTTTCCGTGGAAACACATGCCAATTTGCCCCAAGAGATAGCCCCAAAACCTTGTCGCATTGGTTTCAAGAGCTTGCCCACACCAAAAACCTGCCCACATTGGGGGGTTGACGTTTAGGGGTTTCAACTTTGCCCGGAGCCCAAGACTCGTCTCACCAGGACCTTGGGGTCACCGTTCTCGGCCATATAGCAGCCGTTTCCTCAGGCTTTTCGACTGGAAACCCAGAGCTTTTGCATGTCGATTCCTCTAACGATGGCTGTTTGGGCTCCATGCGAGATAGTTGTACCCCGGTCGATGAGCTCGCTAAAACGACTTTATTCTCTTCAAGAAAGTTCCAATGACACCACATAATTTATCTTAAGTTTAGAAATGAGTGCCGAAAGGATCATTTGTGAGTTTGGCCCAACGGAGGATGTCTGGTTTCGCTTCGGATCGTTCATCTTCTTTTTCAGGGATTGGAAAGCTTCAGGATGGACTTGGAACTGCTCAATCACAAGCTACCCAGGATCCGGAATCGCAGAGTCTGCATCTCGTAGCTGGAACTCAGCTCTGATCCCAACCCGTCCAAACAACCCACACCAGCACGCACTTGAATTGAGTCGTATGTTTCTCCCTCCCCCCCCCCTGTGCTGCGCTTCACATCATTGCTCCCAAGGGAGGGCCAAATAAAAGGCGCCACTTTCTCAAACAGGCGTCGCCAGACTGGGGGGGGGTGGTGGTGAGTTGCCACTTCTCAAGTCAAGTCACGCAGGAATGCCCGCTTTCCACTGAGCGCATCGTACCATGACTCGTGCTCGTTCGGCGCAGGGCAGTAGAGGAAAGGAGAAACCTCAGCGACGAATGCGCAGGACCGGATAAACGATCCCCATGGCGAACAACCTTTTTGTTTGTATCTTAAAATGGGGAGACATTTTAAAATTGCGGTTGTTCATTTGGTGTTCCCTTAAAACTGAAACCTCCCAACAACTCCCAAAACGGGATTCCCTCAATCATCTCAATCCAAAAGAACAAACTAGGAACTTGGACCTTGTCCAAATCCCTTTTTTGCGAAGCACCTGCCTTCGCGCAAAATCAATCAAACACAAAACGCAGGTGCCTAGTGCAATCTGCAAACACAAGAGCAGCCAGGTTGCACCAGTCCAGTTCTGGTTGTTGTTCACGAAGATCCAAATATCATCTCCTTTCGCGCGTCGGCCCCACCCCCGCCACCCCCTCCCCCTTGCTGCAAAAAAGCACAACACTTCCCATACTGCACAAACTGTCTCGAATCTGACCTTTTTGGATTTTGGATGACTTGGGGGAGGAGAGATTGACCAAATCAAGAATGACCAATCGTAGCCTGCGGAGGGGGGGTGGTGGTGTCAACGCATCCACAGTGATGTTGTTTGCCAGGGTGCGTCCAACGCGTTTAAAATCCAAAGCGCAGACTTCCATCAAATTTTGTGACACCTATAGCGCAGTCCCAAACTTGAAGCTCACCAACGCAGAGAACCATAAAGCAGGCAAACCTAGATACCCCCAGCTCCTTTGCGCACTTCCAACCACCAGCTTCTAGTCTGCCAATGGATGAAACTTCAATCTGGGCCTTGGTTTCCCTTGGTTTCCCCAACCTCTCTGAGAAAAGGATCGTGAAAACCCAAGAGCTGGACTGAAACGGGTCGAAGTCCGAGACACCGAAGGGGGGCCCCGCATGTCCGCACTCCGCCCACGCACGGCTTGATGGTGAAGAGACGCCCCCGACAAAAACAACAACGGACAAACTAGACGACGGGTGGCCGGAAGCATGGAAACACGTTGCATAAACGCTGGCACCTCCCCCGCCTGATGAGCAACAAAATGTAAACACGTCAATGTCCCTGCTCAAGCGTGGCTTCTGCAAGTTCTGATGAGTAAGCCTCGCATCATGCTTTACAATCTCTCGAGGCAGTGCATTGGGAAATGGGGTCTGAAATTCGCCACACGCTTCTAAGCTTCTAAGCCTCTAAGCCCCTTGAAGCACACAAGCCTCTAAGCCTCTAAGCTTGTAAGCCTTTGCAGTCCTTGCGCCTCTAGGCCTGCGCGCTCCTAAGCCTCTAAGCCTCTAAGCCTCCAAGCCTTCCAGCCTCCACGCCCCTAAGCCTCTAAGCCTCCAAGCCTTCCAGCCTCCACGCCCCTAAGCCTCTAAGCCTCTAAGCCTCCAAGCCTTCCAGCCTCCACGCCCCTAAGCCCCTAAGCCTCTAAGCCTCTAAGCCTCTAAGCCTCCAAACGCTTAGAGGCTTAGGCGCTTAGAGGCTTAGGCGCTCAGAGGCTTTGGCGCTCAGCGGCTCGCCTCAGCCGCGCTTCGGCGCTAGCGGCTTAGGCGCTTAGAGGCTTAGGCGCTTGGAGGCAAAGGCGCTAGAGGCTTAGGCGCTTAGAGGCTTAGGCGCTTAGCGCTTAGGCGCTTAGAGGTTTAGGCGCTTAGAGGCTTAGGCGCTTAGAGGCTTAGGCGCTTAGAGGCTTAGGCGCTCAGAGGCTTTGGCGCTCAGCGGCTTCGGCGCTCAGCGGCTTCGGCGCCTAGCAGCTTCGGCGCTTTGCGACTTAGGCGCTTAGAGGCTTAGGCGCTTGGAGGCAAAGGCGCTGGAGGCTTAGGCGCTTAGAGGCTTAGGCGCTTAGCGCTTAGGCGAGGCTTAGGCGCTTAGAGGCTTAGGCGCTTAGAGGCAAAGGCGCTTAGAGGCTTAGGCGCTCAGAGGCTTTGGCGCTTACTTCGGCGCTCAGCGGCTTCGGCGCCTAGCAGCTTCGGCGCTTAGCGGCTTAGGCGCTTAGAGGCTTTGGCGCTTGGAGGCTTAGGCGCTTAGAGCTTAGTGGCTGACCAAGTGCTAAAGGTTTAAGCGGGAATCCACCGGATTTCCGTCTAATCTCCCTCCAGCACCTCTAAGCCTCTAAGCCCTGTAAGTCTTCCAGACGCCACGCCCCTAAGCCTCTAAGTCTCCAAGCCTGTCAGCTTCTAAGCCTTTCAGCCGCTGAGCCTGCACGCCCCAAAGCCTTTAAACCTCTAGGTCCGTAAGCCTGCGCCCTCCTAAGCCTCTAAGCCTCCAAGCCTCTAAGTCTTCAGCCGCCACGACCCCTAAGCCTCTAAGAGTCTACAAGCCTGTCATTCTTCAAAGCCTTTCAGCCGCTGACCCGCACGCCCCAAAGCCTTATAACCTCTAGGTCTGTAAGCCTGCACGCTCCTAAGCCTCTAAGCCTCTAAGCCCTGTAAGCTTCTAAGCCTTTCAGCCACTGAGCCTGCACGCCCCAAAGCCTTTAAACCTCTAGGTCCGTAAGCCTGCACGCTCCTAAACCTCCAAGCCTCTAAGCCTCTAAGCCTCTAAGCCTCTAATTAAGCCATCCAGCCTCCACGCTCCTAAACCTCTAAGCCTCTAAGTCTTCCAGCCGCCACGCCCCTAAGCCTCTAAGTCTCCAAGCCTGTCAGCTTCTAAGCCTCTTAGCCGCTGAGCCTGCACGCCCCAAAGCCTTTAAACCTCTAGGTCCGTAAGCCTGCGCCCTCCTAAGCCTCTAAGCCTCCAAGCCTCTAAGTCTTCCAGCCCCACGCCCCCCTAAGCCTCTAAGATCTCCAAGCCTGTCAGCTTTCTAAGCCTTTTCAAACCGCTGAGCCCTGCACGCCCCAAAAGCCTTTAAACCTCTAGTCTGTAAGCGCACGCTCCTAAACCCTCTAAGCCTCTAAGCCCTGGTAACTCTAAGCTTTCAATCCACTGACCTGCACGCCCCAAAGCCTTTTTAAAACCTCAGGTCCGTAAAGCCGCAAACGCTCCTAAACCTCAACGCTCCTAAGCCTCTAAGCCTCTAAGCCTCTAAGCCTCTAAGCCTCTAATTAAGCCATCCAGCCTCCACGCTCCTAAACCTCTAAGCCTCTAAGTCTTTCAGCCGCCACGCCCCTAAGCCTCTAAGTCTCCAAGCCTGTCAGCTTCTAAGCCTCTTAAGCCGCTGAGCCTGCCACGCCCCAAGCCTCTTAGCCGCTGAGCCTTTTAAACCTCTAGGTCCGTAAGCCTGCGCGCTCCTAAGCCTCTAGGCCTCTAAGCCTCTAAGTCTTCCAGCCGCCACGCCCCTTTAGAGGCTTAGGAGCGTGCAGGTTTACGGACCTAGAGGTTTAAAGGCTTTGGGGCGTGCAGGCTCAGCGGCTGAAAGGCTTAGAAGCTGACAGACTTGGAGACTTAGAGGCTTAAGCCTCCAAGCCCTGTAAGCTTCTAAGCCTTTCAGCCACTGAGCCTGCACACCCCAAAGCCTTTAAGTCTTCCAGCCGCCACGCCCCTAAGCCTCTAAGCCTGTAAGCTTCTAAGCCCTTCAGCCTCTGAGCCTGCACGCCCCAAAGCCTTTAAACCTCTAGGTCCGTAAGCCTGCACGCTCCTATGCCTCTAAGCCTCTAAGCCTCTAAGCCTCTAAGCCTCTGATTAAGCCATCCAGCCTCCACGCTCCTAAGCCTCTAAGCCTCTAAGTCTTCCAGCCGCCACGCCCCTAAGCCTCTAAGCCTGTAAGCTTCTAAGCCTTTCAGCCGCTGAGCCTGCACGCCCCAGAAAGCCTTTAAACCTCTAGGTCCGCAAGCCTGCACGCTCCTAAGCCTCTGAGCCTAAGTCTTCCAGCCGCCACGCCCCTAAGCCTCTAAGTCTCCAAGCCTGTCAGCTTTCAGCCGCTGAGCCTGCACGCCCCAAAGCCTTTAAACCTCTAGGTCCGTAAGCCTGCACGCTCCTAAGCCTCTCAGCCTCTAAGCCTCTAAGCCTCTAATTAAGCCATCCAGCCTCCACGCTCCTAAGCCTCTAAGCTTCTAAGTCTTCCAGCCGCCACGCCCCTAAGCCTCTAAGTCTCCAAGCCTGTCAGCTTCTAAGCCTTTCAGCCGCTGAGCCTGCACGCCCCAAAGCCTTTAAACCTCTAGGTCCGTAAGCCTGCACGCTCCTAAGCCTCTAAGCCTCTAAGCCCTGTAAGCCTCCATCCAAGCCTCTAAGCCTCTAAGTCTTCCAGCCGCCACGCCCCTAAGCCTCTAAGCCTGCAAGCTTCTAAGCCTTTCAGCCTCTGAGCCTGCCCGCCCCAAAGCCTTTAAACCTCTAGGTCCGTAAGCCTGCGCGCTCCTATGCCTCTAAGCCTCTAAGCCTCCAAGCCTCTAAGCCTCTAAGCCTCTCACTAAGCCATCCAGCCTCCACGCTCCTAAGCCTCTAAGCCTCTAAGTCTTCCAGCCGCCACGCCCCTAAGCCTCTAAGCCTGTAAGCTTCTAAGCCTTTCAGCCGCTGAGCCTGCACGCCCCAAAGCCTTTAAACCTCTAGGTCCGTAAGCCTGCGCGCTCCTAAGCCTCTAAGCCTCTAAGCCTCTAATCAAGCCATCCAGCCTCCACGCTCCTAAGCCTCTAAGTCTTCCAGCCGCCACGCCCCTAAGCCTCTAAGTCTCCAAGCCTGTCAGCTTCTAAGCCTTTCAGCCGCTGAGCCTGCACGCCCCAAAGCCTTTAAACCTCTAGGTCCGTAAGCCTGCACGCTCCTAAGCCTCTAAGCCTCTAAGCCTCTAAGCCTCTAAGTCAGCCGCCACGCCCCTAAGCCTCTAAGTCTCCAAGCTGTCAAGCTTCTAAGCCTTTCAGCCGCTGAGCCTGCACGCCCCAAAGCCTTTAAACCTCTAGGTCCGTAAGCCTGCACGCTCCTAAGCCTCTAAGCCTCTAGCCTAAGCCTAAAGCCTCCAGCCTCTAAGCCTCTAAGCCTCTAAGCCTCTAATTAAGCCTCCAGCCGCCACGCTGCTTGGAGGCTTAGGCGCTTAGAGGCTCAGGCGCTTAGTCGCTTTGGCGCTTAGAGGCTTGGCTTAGAGGCTTAGGCATTTGGAATAGGGGCTTGGGCGCTTAGGCGCTTCGAGGCTTAGGCGCTTGGAATAGGCGCCTAGACGCTTAGAGGCTTCGTAGAGGCCCAAGTCGCAAGCCTCCACGCTTCCACGCCTCTCAGCCTCTAAGCGGGCGCTGGGAGCAGAGGCTTATAAGCTTAGGCGCTTAGAGGCTTAGAGGCTTGCGCGGCTGTTGATTAGTAGTAAGAGGCTTGGGCGCTTAGAGGCTTAGAGGCTTAGAGGCTTAGAGGCTTAGAGGCTTAGAGGCTGGTGTTGAAATAGGCAGACCCCTTCTCCCAATACAATGCAATCTCTCCTGTCAATTTATCTTGTGCGTGGTGCTGTGAATTGATGTTATGTGTCATGCTGATGTTGATGCTTGCGCACTGGCGCTGCGCGTCACACTGCGCATGATGTTGCACGTGATGCTAAGCATGACTCGCGCATGATGCTCTACAATCTCTCTTGTACAATCTTCCATGTTCGTTTCCCTCGTCAGCCTCTCTTGTTCATATGCGGCATTTTGACTGCGCGAGAAGGCTAGCGGCTTTAGCTGCGGACGTGTGCTTCGCATAATACTCTTGCGCTTACAAGTTGCGATGCTCGAGCTGGACATGCTTGAGTGCACTTCGCGTCGGATTCGCGGGAATGCGCTTTGCGCACTACATGCGCACATGCCAGTGCGATTCTCGGGAGCTTGAGAATGCACTTCGCGTAGTACTACATTTGTACTTGCGATTTTGCATCCGCAGCTGCGGGGTGCTCTTCGTGTTCTTTTGTATCGAATCTAATTAAACTTAGGATTTGGTGGCTAGACCTGCGCAAGTGAACTTCTTTTTTCCTCTCTCTCTCTCTCTCTCTGCGCTTGCACACTTAAAAGTTCCGGTTGTCGAGCCGGAGCTGCCACGGATCAAACCCGCGACCACGCGATTGCGAAAGCAGGCGCGCAGACCGCAAGACAACCTCCAAAGACCATGTCGCAAGAAATCAAAGTACGAAAAACTCGCACGGGGCCACAGCAACACCGATCCAACGCGCACGATCCCCGCAGTCAACTCGCCGAGATCAAGGCACATTCGCGCGGCGCCACAGCGAGAGCGCTTCGACACGCAGGATCTCCGCAGAGGGTTCGTGGAGGCAAGGCACATTCGCACGGCACGACGGCGAGAGCGCTTCGACATGCACAATCTCCGCGGAGGGTTTGCCGAGAGCAAGACACATTCGCAGGTCGCCACAGCCAGAGCGCTTCGACACGCACGATCTCCAGGGGTTCGACGGCTCCCGTTCAGCCTACCCGCCGCAGAAAAATAATAATAACTGACTTGAGAAGAGAAGGTGCAAAAGAAAAGTTAGCTGGTGTCATTAGGATAGTTGGCAGGCGAAGTTGGAAGGTGAAGTAGAACTGGACAAGTTGGCAAGTCTCGCAAAGCTGGCAGGACACGTTGGCAAGTGAAGTTACTCTTACGACTCTTGCTCTCAAAAGTTGGCAGGCGGTGAAGCAACGCTCGAACAGCTGGCGAAGTTGGCAGGTGCAGTAAGAGTCTCGAAAAGTTCGCAGGCGAAGTTGGCAGAAGAGGTTTGCAGCCGTTTGTGGAAGAAGAAGCCTTCGCATCCTTCCGGAGAAAAAGCAATACACAAACCAAGCACACCGCTGGACTGGGTTTGACCACCGAATCCGGAAGCGCGGAAGCGCCTCCGTCGTCAGGCTGGCGTGTGAAGACGAGACTGTCCCAGGCTGCAGAGATGAGCGTCATTCCTTTGCCCCCGGTGTTCATGCCCAGCTCCTTCCGCAACTTGTTCCTCAGATCCAAGGAACAACACATGAACCCCCTTTAAAAAAAATCGGCCCCTAAAATGGATACCAACCCAAATTGGGGAGGTCCACCATTTTGAGATATTTTGAGAAACGACATGTTCAAATCGTTCCCCTCCATCTAGTTACTTATTTTCTTTGGAGAGGTCAGGCCTACAGTTGTTTGACGTGTGTTGCCCCAAGATACTGGGTGGCCTTAGGCGTTTGGTGGGGGGAATGTTGCGCCCCTAGATGTCTTCTCCAAAGCCAACAGTTCAATGACAGCCAACTGATTGAGTAGATTGGTCAAACGAGACAACCAAACTTGTCGTTTACCGCTGGAATGGTCTTCCGCACGGGTTTGAAGTCTGCTTGGTTGGGAGTGAGGCGGGCTCATTTTCTGAGTGTTTGCTACAAAATGGTCTTGCCAAAAAGCATCAAGTCCAGGAAATCAGGAAGCGAGACAAAACGCAAGGACCCCCAACCTCCCCAGAAGTTGACTTCTTGGCGGTGCCGAGCGAAGGGTTCTGAACCTTGTGGGAAGGCCTGCGGGTGAGGGAAACAGGACATCTTGCTTCTCAGAAGGCGCCGTTGCACGAGTACCAAACTCCAAGCGGATGCATCACAGGGCTCCAGGGAAAGAACTAGACAGAGACCAAGAGACCAGTCCAACGCTTGAATGTAGCTTCCAAATGTATCTTAGTGTGTGTCATCTTTTGTCCGCAGCGAAGTACACGAACCTTGCAATTGCAATCAGGGCGCAGTTTGTGGATGAACTCATATTGCCAGGTCGAGGTGTTGAACCTCACTCACAGCAGACCAACTCGAAGCAGAAAGGCCCCTGGTTTTGACTGGGTCAGGATCTCCATTGGCAGGTGTTCGCCCTAAGGCCCCGTTTGAGGTCCCAAGATGCTTAGGGATTGTAGAGGCTCAACTTTGGGCCCTGGTCTCAAACAAACTATGTGCTCCTGAAAACAGGCTAAACCAAACCCTTACGTTATCGCGAGAACACTTGAACGCCCTGGAACACCTGCCCTGAGCAAGTCAGGATGGTCCTTTTGCTGAAGCCACTGTTGGTTGACAAGTTGGCCCCAAGAGAAGTGAAGTGCATTACCAGGGGCGCTTCTGCGAAGATTGCCCAAAAACAGCTACCCTGCAAGGTGATGACCATCTATCCAAAGTTCAAAGGGCTTTTGACTGCGAGAGGTGCAAGGTGCAAGAAACCTTGGAACCTGCCACCAAAAGCGCCAGATCAGCAAGTTTCAACCCGATTGCGATCGTGCTTCTTGTGCGGGGATGTCTCAATCAACCTTTAGCGACTGTTCTTTCCAAGCCCCATGGCAGCAAACAGTCTTGTTCTTCGCATCCCAACATGCTAAAGCGGAAAGGACAACTGAAAAACATGCGACCAACACACTGAAATGTGCTGGCTTCGTGCGTGGAACGGAGGGGCTCATCCCTTGTCCCCGTTTCACTAGCAAGCGCATTCCAGATGCGGACGGCTCCCCCCCCCCCCTGTGCGTCACATCCACTTGCCCACAGCCAGTTGCAACCAGCTCTGGTTCCCGTTCCCTTGTCCCCGTTTCACTAGCAAGCACATTCCACTTGCCCACAGCCAGTTGCAACCAGCTCTGGTTCCCTTGTCCCCGTTTCACTAACAAGCACATTCCAAATGCGGACGGCTTCGCTGCCCCCCCCCTGCTGTGCGTCACATCCACTTGCCCACAGCCAGTTGCAACCAGCTCTGGTTGACGGAAGGCCAGACATGCCGCTTTGACATGCCTAGGGTTTGGATTTCGTTCGGGTGCCGTTCTACAGCCAACCCCCATCGCCCCCTCGTCTTTCGGTCGGTAACGCCCCATTGAAAACACCCAGATCTCGCTTTGGTCTGTGCTCTGAATGTGGGCCTTCATCGAAACTTAATCAACACATGTTGGGTAAGGTTGTTGTGCTCTTTGCTTTTTGTACTTCAATTTTTGGTGATTCCTGCTCAGCACACCCAACATGATGACTATAGACGTTTTCAGAATCCCAGCAACTCCACAAACTGTTTTTCCTCAGTTTGGCAAACCTCCGTTTGCTTACGTCCCCTATACAAATAACGAAACAAACTACATCCAGCAGGGATAGATGCCCTTTGCAACCTAAACAGAAATATACATCCATGAAATAGACATTCAGCAAACATATGCAAAAAAAGGATAGACTTATTTTGAAACCAACAGGCCAACCACCCCCATATTCTCCAGCACATGGAAGCAACAAAAAATGGATTTGTTCTCTCGTGTCGGGCGAGGGGCCGTGTCTGCCAGAGGGACTCGCGGACATAGGCCTAGCATGCGGGTGGGGCCCGTGCCCATTGGTCAAAAATATATATAAAAATCCCCTGATTCACAGAACCTCCTTTTGGTCCTGAGAGCCTGAGGGCCAGTCTGGCAACCCCTTTTGCGTGGGAAGTTCCCTCCTCTTGTTCGGCTCTCACTTCCGTTGATCCGCAGGTCGATGAATGCCGACGGGCCGCATTAATGATGTTATCAATTTCAGAATTGTCCCAAAAGTAATGGGCTCACTATTCTCAGAACCGCCCAAACCATTTTATGCGTGCGGGAGAAACTGCCCCCAGTTTCTTCGATCAGGCTTCCTACGCAAGGAAAGAAGGGAACTCCGACCACTTCCTTTTCAAACCAACAGGAAAATAACGATCCGGATCTTCAATGACTGGTGCTCGAAGATCACACATTCGCATCCATTAAAAAGATTGCTCATCCCAACCAGTGAACATAGCATCTCGATTTTGGGAAAGATGTCCGGGCCCATACAAACCTATGGATCCATTGTTGTTGGTCCCCTGGGCGCGCTGGGTGTTCCAATTCTTGGCCCCGTAAAACTCGGGGGTGATACCAGGGGTTTGAGCTCACTGTTGATACAATCCAGTTTTCGCCAAAACAAAGCGGTTTCAAGGGTGGCATCCAAGTACCGTTGAGTTGTAGGTTCCCATGACTATGCTACGAGTCCCCTTCCAGAACACCGGACATAGGACACCGGAAATGGAAAAGGGTAACATTGTGGAATCCACTGAATCATGGGGCTTTGATTCCAGCAAAAGGCACATGTAGCCTGCCATCTCGTTGATGGATCTCAGTTTCTGCCCCCAAAAATGATTTGTCAAGGCACGGCAAAGTTTCGAAGACAATAAGCCAAAAGTCAATGGCCCAAATCAGGTGCCATGTGGGAGAAAGGGTGGGTACAGTCATCCTTTTGAGTCTCACATGGGATCTGAATGGATATTGGAGTTGGTTCAACTTGACCAGTGGTTTCTGGCGGAAACTAGCCAGAAGATGGCATTTATTTTGCCCTCCCAAATTACTTGCTGTGGCTGTCCCCCAATCCCAATAGGGGCTAAATGGTGACTAATAAGTTACTAATAAGGCCTATACTTGGGGCTAAGGGTTCCTTGTGTACCTTGCTGGGGGGTCCGCTGACAATCATGGGAAGATTGACCAGGGACGACTAGATATGTTGACCGGCCTTCGCAATATGGATCGTACATTCGCCCTGAGTTGTTCTATGGATCCACATGAGTGCATTTCCAGGCAAGCTGCGCACACAATTATTTGAACGCGACAAGGTTTCCACACCTCGCCTTTCTTGATTGTGCCCCCCCCCCCCGCAACATGGAACAGCAGGACACCTGTTTTGTTGGTCGGTTGATTTTGAAGGGGCTTCACCACCCCCAAAAGCAAGTTGAACGTGCTTGACACGCGCTCGGCAACAGAAGCCGACAAACGTTTCTTGAAAGACTGTCCTCTTGAAAAGCCCACTGTCCACTTCCATGTTGGAGAGGGAGCTTTTGTCAGCTTCCCTCTGATTTGTGGTGTGAAGCCCGATAGTTTGGTGATTGAGGGATGGTGCCCCAGCCCTCTACAACCAGGGACCCGTTCAAATCCCTAAATCCACCGGGCTCACCACCAACCGGGGGTGGGGTGACCTGATTTTGGTCCAGGTCAAAGCTCGCTCCGGCCTGGCCCTTGTCCATCTCGTTCTTCTTCTTCAGGGCTGCTTTCCTTAGGCGATGAAGAGGGCCGCTCTGCAAAAACTGCTTAGAACGGCCCATGCTGGAGAAAAAAACACCGGTGCCCAATGGGTTTCCTTTTGGGTGAACGAAATATTATTGGCTATCTAGCACCCAACTAAATGAGCTGGACCAGAGAGGGTGGTAAGCATTGAAGCGAGCCAGAGGATTCCAGTGAGCAACTGGGAGAAGAGGGTCCCCCTTTTAGAAACAGCCCACAACAAAAAGCGATCCCTGCGAAATCACACCAAGGAGCCCAACACACCATCCCTGGCATCATTTGAGTAAGCCATTAGACAACCCTGGGCCATTTGCCTGCCCTCTTAGCAAACAATCGGCGTTCCGAACGCAGCCACGCACTCAAAAAGCGAAGGGGACCAAAAACGCTCAACGAAACAGCCCCCCCAGCCCGCGCCTCGAATCAACTTCTCGGGCTTCAGCGGCTTAAGTCTTGCTTCCCCGCAAAAAAAAACCATAACATAGTAGCTACAACACTCCTTCCCCCCTTCACGCGGGGTCTCTGCATTTGCTTGGGACTGCCAGTGCTGATGCTTTTGGGCTCTTGGAGGCTTGGAAAACCTCGCCACCTGCAAAACTGTGAGGTCAAAAACCCCAAGGCCCTGGAAAATTCCAGGAAGCCCCGGCCAAGCGGTTTCCTGAGCCCCAAAGGCCCCGCTGTTAGCCCCACAGTGGAGGGGCCCCCCTCGGTTTTACGGGAATGTTGAGGTTGTTCCCGTTCCCTTTCCCCTTCAAATTTGTGCGGTTTGAAACAACATACATGCCTCTTTTTGGTGTTTGGAAACCGGAAAACCACCAGAATCAACGGGGTCCATCTATTTTGACACAAACGGCCGCTGCCCCGCCCCTCCCCGCCGTCCTTCCCACATCCTCAAAATTCACCTCTTGGCGGCTTGGAGGACCAGCCCCAACGGCCCTTGAACTGCAACTTACCCCAAGGACCCTTTTCCTCTTGAAATTCACCCCCCCCCCCCCCCGCCTCGGACTGTTGGCTTTCAATGCCACTTATGATTCGAGGCGAACTTCGTTTGACGCATTCCGGGCATGTGCAAAACCAAACTTGAAACCTTTGCTTACTGGGTATCCATGTTAATGTTTTGCCGGCAGAACCCCTGTGCCAATCATGATTCCTGTTGCTGGCCTGTCCTCAGACCCGCTAAAAGCTTGTAACTTTTAGTGGGTAAATGGAAACCCAACCACTACACCAACTAAAAACGACTCAACACCTAAGGAGCCAACCCAAAAAAAGGCCACTAAACCACCTAAAATCCACCTAAGGTTCACCGGATGGCTGGTTGAGCCACCAATGTGACATGTCCAAAGCAGACGTCCCATCGAGGCCAAAACGAATCGGCCCAAACCGACCCAAACCGAGGCGCTCCAGCACGTTGGCCTGGTGCCCGGTGAGGCCCTGCTCCGTGCCGTAGTACACCTAGCCCCGGACATTGGGGAAAACAGGACGATCTGGCGAAAACGGTCCCTTTTTTGGTGGGGCTTCGAAGATGTGGTTGGCTTCCTTCTGTTTATTTTCGACCTGTTGGGTGGGGCTTCCTCGAACATGTGGTTGGCTTCCAATTTGTGTTGGATTTGTGGTTGGCGTTTTTTTGCCCAGACACGATGGGCGTGCCCCGCGCGAAAAACAAGGCCGCCAGCGCGTTCTTGATGCGATAGGAGTCCCCGTCGCCTCGGACTCCAAAACGCGGCTGAGTCGCCGAGCCCCTCAGCGGTGCCGGTGACCACTCCCCCAAAAGGGCACAAACGACAAGTTGGAGTTGCCTTAAGGGGCTCCAAGCTCCGAGTCGCACGAGATTCAGCTCAAGTCGAGTGAGGGAACTTGAAACTCTGGAGGCTGCGTCCGCTGGAATTCCAGTTTTTCCATCCTTTCACCTCCGAGTGTGTTGTATTCTGAGAGCAGACTGAAACCCTGCGGTTATGGAGAAATGCCACAAAACGCGGACAACTTGGAACCTGGGATGAAATGCAACTTGAAACCTGGGATGAACCATGCAGATTCATGTGAACCCTGTGGTCACTCCTTAGGCCCCTAGGTGCTAAGGCACGAAAGAGGAAGCTAGAACTAGACTCTGCCCTTCTTTTTTAACAGGTGCCATTTTCACCTTGAGCTAAAGGGAAACCAAACGGGAATCCACATTTTTGTTGGGGGGGATGCGGTTCCCTCAGAAAATGTCTTTAGAGTTGGTGCCTTCAGAAGGAAACGGAGAAACCCCTTTTCTTTTTTGGAGATAAACAAACGCCAAAGGGAAAGCAACATCCATGGTCCCCGCCACTTTCGACCCTTTCGACCCGAGACGGGGCCCCCTACAGTAGTAGCCGATCCGGGCGAACTCGTCGTGGTTGTCCACGAAGTTCCCCAACCTCAGGTTGGCAGGGTATCCGGTTTCCCCTGACCGCAAAGGGCAGTCCCAATTTCTGCCCTAGCCTTCCCCACAAAACAGCCCCCTACCCTTGCTCCCACTAACATAGCTAAGCGGGCCCTCTATCAGGTGCCATAACCAGATTCAAGGATGCCAGGATGCTAATCGAACCTATCTGGGCTGGAAAGTCAGGGCTTCACACGTTTCAGGGAAATTCATTGTGGTGGCAAACCAAAAGTTTGCCTGTGTCAGCCAATCCCACCCTCAAGAAGTGAGGGCATGCAGGTATGCGATATACTTACCCAATCTTCCTGGAGCGAGTCGGCTGCTTCACTTTTAGTTTCTCCTCAAATCTGCATTTGGATAACTGCGCAAGGAGTGTTGCCAATGAGACTTCTCCTGCCATTTGTTGAATACTCATCAACTTTCTCAGCTTATAGCAATCATTGTGGGACGTTCAGCTTCCCAATTGGTGGCTTGGATCGGAAGTGTTCCGGGGGTAGCTTCCCATCCCTCAACAAGAACCAGGGCTTCGAATCCACACCACCGGGTTCCAAACCAACTACTTCCCGAGGCCGCAATCGGACCCAACACGGCAAGCACTTCCTTTTTGGTCTCCGATTCAAGCCGGGTACCCTCAAACAAGAACCCCCCCCACATCAAGTATCTGAGTGATCTTGCAAGTGGCCATTCTGCATTTGTCGGAAAGGGAACCCAGTTCGGCGCGCGGAAAATACTCGGGGAAACGGGGGTGTCTCAAAAATAAGGGGCTTCCCTTGATTGCTGGCTTCCTTCTGGCGTCTGTTGCAAACAACTCATACCCTGAATAAAAAAAATACACCCAAATTTCGGAAAGGTTCCTTGATTTCAGCCATGGAATTGCCACTCACGGATCGTTCAAACTGCTGAAACACTTAAGCAAGTGTTGCCAACTCTTGTGCGAAATCGTATTAGTCACACACCGGAAAGAAGGACTTCCCAAGGACGAAACTTCTCATGGGTGGGCTGAGCTCGGTTTACACTGTGCCAGTTCCTGCTCATGTCAGTGTTCCTTTAAAATGGTCTTTAGGCTCATCCACTGACTGCCTTCACGAGTGGATGCGCTAAAACGTATTGTTTTCCACAGAAATAACCTTCCCACAAAGTTTAAAGTCCAGGAACTCAGGGAGTGAGTTGAAGGCCGTGGTCTTGAGATACAATCAGTTGTTCAGTGTGGAAAAACAAAGGAACCCTTTTGGGGAAGACTATTTTTGGTGGGGCAGCCACAAAAAATGGAAACGGGGTGCCACTGAACAACTGAGATACACCCAGCGTTCCCCAAGCTCGACTCACCTCTTGTTCGGGGCTGCAAGGAACATCACGTGGACGGGGCTCCGGATAGATCCCGTTCAAACTGACAGTTTTACCTGGACCCATTTGAAGTCATAGCATTGCTTGTTGGCTAATTCGCACTTTTTTTCTGGATTGGTCAACAAAAGTAACCATGGACCATGTATATACTTCTTGTGCAGCACAAACATTGCCTTCACACCTGTTTTAAGTACTGATTGGTTGGAAGTGAGACAGTGCCAAAGCGCCCCCCTCCCAAGAAACACTGCTGTGATACCCATGAAGACCTTGCTGACTAATCTGAGAAAAAGTTCCCTCACCGGAAGTGAGAACCAGCTTGCCATCCGTCAACTCGCTCCAACAAACCGAGCGTTTCTGATTGAAGTGTTCTGCAGACCCCCGGGGGCTTGGTCAACGTTCAGCCCCAAACCGCCAGCACCAACTTTGGGCGTGGGACACAACGGTTGTTGAGGGGGGGGGAGGTGCTGGCATGGCTTTGTTTGCGCTTTCTTTCATTTGGGGCAAGGGCCAAGAGGTCTTTGGCCCCACACCCTTGACCCATCCGGCCAGAGACCGCCGACAGGGCGTGCAGCTTCAAGGTCCATCCCACTCCGAGGGGCAGGTCTGGGTTGGGGTAGATGTCTGGGCCCTGGTTCCGCATGATGTCCGACAGCTTCCGCAGGTCCGGCAGCCTCGAGCTCCGTTTCACATCGCCCGGGCTCTGTTCCAGCCCTCCCCACAAAAGAGCCCAACCTGAAAGTGGGTTCACACCTAGGTCCTCCAGTAGAGAGGGTAGAATAAGGGTACCCTTTTTTTGCTGTTGTCTATCTTAGTAGGGGAACCCTCCCCCCAAAAAGGGTAAAAGGGCACTACTGGGGGACCTAGACACTTTAAGAACCCCACCCCCCCAAATCGATTTGCTGTCAAAAAAGGCTGATTCAGAGCCACAACTAGGAGAGCCAACTGAAGGTGACCCTTAGTCCATGGCCGCTAATAGTCACTCAGAGCCACTACCCTCTGAAAAATCAGAAGACTTAAACACCAGCCTGATAAAGAAAAGAAACCGTCTGAAGGCATGAGCACCTTTTTCGAACCCATGGCATGAAACCTGAGTTTAGGACGTACACATCCTCCGAACTGGACAATTACTTTTCAGGAATCCTTGCAGGATGCATCCTGCTTTACAAGGATTCGGATCCTCTAGATGAGCTGGCAGTTTGGTCCAAATGTCTCATTAGATTCAAGGCTAGGAATGCGTGAGCCCTGTGTTCGAGCCTCTGGTATGAATCCTTAGTGTGTCACATGTGTTACTTAAACATTTCCGAAAAATAGGCTTTGCCGGTCCCGCAAATAGGGTTCCATGCATTCCCCTACCGTTGCCCACCGAAGGGACATTTTAAGCTGGCCGAAAATGGGTGAGGGAATGACTCAAGGCGAATCAGGCACACAAGGGCCTGATGGTGTGGATCTTTGTTGGTTTTGGATGTTCAACGTTTTGGGCCAATACCTTGGAATCCCGCCCGAGAAAGGAATCAGAGGTTTATGGCGCCTAAACGTTTAGGTGCCTTTCCCAACGGCTCGCTCGCAATGTTGACTTTAAAGGGACTGGTGCAGCCTCTCTTGAAATTTAGGAAATGGAACCCCATGTGCAGGACCTTCATAGTGAGCCTTGTAGCCCAAAACCCATAGTAGGCAGAAACCATGGTTTGCGCCGATATTGCGCCTTCGGACCTTTTAGCGGATTCCGTCGCAAGGAGCCCAGCCAGGGCTTGGTTTGCCTTCAAGCACATCTTGCAACCAACCCTACCTCTACAACACCAAGACAGACAGAGAGAGACAGGCAGGCAGGCAGACAGACCGGACAGCACGGCACGGCCCGGCCCGGCACGGCAGAGACAACCAATAGATAAAGACACAGACAGCGCAGACAGCACCAGCAACACACAGCACACACACACACACACGCACGCAGGCACGCACGCACGCACGCACGCACGCACGCACGCACGCACGCACCCACCCACCCACCCACCCACACACACACACACACACACCCTAAAACGCTCATTGCACCCCCTGCCCCCCTGCAAACCCCAATAAGGCAGGAAGGGATGAACCAGCTTTCTTCCCACTGCACCCTACCCTTCTTTCAACATGGAAAGCGACCGTGTTTGTTGGGAAGACAAAAGCTTTGGGAAAGGCCTCCGTCCACTCTAGGGTCTGCGAATTTTCGTCCCACTGAATCAGAAGGCAGGGGGAGAGCTGCCAATGTTAACCCAGGATATCTGGGCGCTGGTTTTAGTGGGGATTCACTCGCTGTTGGAATGGAGGGGCCCCGAATCAACAGACCAAACAACTAGGGGTTCTAAACCTGGGGACCCACCACCCAAAAGAACCAGGATCGGAAGCTGTTCCGTCCGAAATGCTGGGGGGTGAAGGCGCCCTGCAAGTGGTAGTTCCCCAGGTCCCCACCTGGAGCGGAGCGATGGCAGCGAGAGGAGTTCCTTCTACCCTTTCTCTAGGTGGTTTAAAGGGACACCAGAAGGAAAACCCACCTTTTTAAAGGGTCCCTTCAAAAAAGACACAGCAATTTGGGTGTACACAAAAGGATTCACCCAAAAGGTGACCACTCAAGGTGCGACACTTTTCTTTTTTTTGGTATGCTTTGCTTTTTGGAGTTGGTATCACTTTGATTTGAAGGGACGCCGGAAGGAAAGTCGCTATTTCCGGCCCCTTGTTTTAATACACACCCAGTTCTTGCATTTAAACAACACAGTGGTTGATTCAAGGGAAACAAACCAGAACATTGGTACTGGTAAGTATGGAGGTGACATACCACTAGCATCTAAGCCTCCACGCCTGAAAAAGCCCCAAACAGAAACTCCACTAATAACTGGCCTTTCCGAGATGCGATCTTCACCTCGATCTCAGGGAGTGAGACGGTTGAAAAGCCATGGAACCACCGCCATAGGTCCCAGCCCAAAGAGCCACAAGGGCCAAGCTGCCCAGGTGGTACTGGCAGAAGCTCGCATGCACCTGGCGCTTGTCGCGCTCCTTCCCCCCCCCCCCAAAAGGAGTCTTGCTGGTTTAACTCCGTTGTTTGATGGCCAAAGGTAGGCTCAAACCCAGGGAGTGTTCAAGGGGGAATGAGACAAGGTTCCATTTGGGGGGTGTTGGTTAGAGGTTAGAGGGTGCAAGTTGTGGGATGGCTTGAAAGGGAATTCGAACGGAAACTACCCCCTCTCTTCTTTTTTTGGGGTGTCTGTGTGTGTGTCCCTATTTAGACCATGTTGGATGACCCCAAGGCAGAGTCCATTCCCCTTGCTCGTGGCTTTGTTCCGACAAGGCAGGGTGGCTGGCGCTTTTGTTTTTCTCTCTCTCTCTCTCTGCGTTCCCCGAACCCTGTGCTGAAACTTCCCTTCCTGCCCCTTCAAGAGAAGGGGCATTCGAACTCCTTATTTCACTGGGCTGCTTAAGTACGGCTTTCCGCCCATCGCTGCAGCTGTAAAGAACGCACCCCAGTGAACAATGTACAAAAAACAAACATCCCACCCCCGAATTCCTGAATTGAAGGGCTGTGCAGCTCACCCTCTTCCCTCCCCCCCCCCCAGGTGAGCGGAGCTCAAGCCAGTGGCTTCTAAAACTCGCTTGTTTTGCAAACAAACAATGACAAACAGTTGCACAGGGCACATAGTGCTGGCTATGCTCTGGCAATCTTTCCAAGGAACGGGGCCCTCCGTGGTTTGGCTGGCCTGGCAGGTTTTTGCTTTGAAGTTTTGAAGGTTGAACAAGGCGCCCCGCTGGGAAGAGGTCAAACAAATGGAAGTTGCGAAGAAAGGGCCTAGTGCTGGTTGGCTTTGAGGCAAACTCGAAAGCCCTTAAGCAAAAAGCAAAAGGACGGGGCCTCCAACTCAGTTGCCCAGTTGGACCCAGAAATCAAAGGTCAGGCTTTGTCTGACCTTCAAGATTGGGAACCCTCTGTTGGGGGCATGAAAATTGGTCATGTCAGAAGGTCGATTTGGGGCAGTGAAAAGGCGTATCCCTCAAAAGGCCGCGAGCTCCGCGTCTGCGAGCCGATGCAAAGCGATGCCTGGTAGAACGCCGGGAAGTTCAGCAGGCCGCTGAGCCCAGCGTGCTGGAAGCTGGCGTGGTAGCCTGAGTTCACTGCTGGAGAAACCATGTCAAGGCCTGCTTTGGTTACGAGAAAATCCCAGCCCCGCTTCTTTGGACCCAAAATCATAGCATAGCTCGCAAGTGCCTGACGGGAACCGGAAGCCGACCACACTTGGCTGGGTTGTTCAAAAGGGGGGGGGGGAAAGGCATGCGAATGGAATTTCCACAAGTCATAGGCGGACCCAAGATTGAAAAAGCCAATCTCTCGCTGCTTTTAGGATTGGCCTGAGACCACGACAGGAGACTCCATCTTTTGGCGCAATTTGGACCCCCTAAAACCTCTCCTTCCAGCACCCAGAGGTTGTGACTCGAGGACTCAAGGAGTCAGGCGGTCGAGTCGAGTTGCTGATGTTGTTCACCGTCGTCTCCCCCAAGATGTCCACCCCTAGGGACGGGCAAACCCTATGGTTTTTTTAGGCCTTTGGGGGGGGTGTCTCAAAATAGGAATCAGACCCCCCAAAATGGTTGGCTTCCTTTTGGTTGTCTTGTAAAACCTAGTACCGTCGAGAAACAGCCATATGTTCTAACTAAATACAACTCCTCATGGCATCCATCAAAAGTGGGCCAAGGGTCTGGTTGGATCTATACTTCGCAGATCCATATGACAACGTCTGGTTGCTTTTTGAACCTGTTCAACATGGGAACCGGGTCAATCCTAATCCATCCCTATGTCACAATCCACAAAGCTTGGCCCCACATCTGGAGTACACAGAACATATCGCTCCATATTTCGGTCTACCCATGTTTTTTTAAGTTTGGAGGAGACCTCGGGGACCAAATCCTTGCGAACCGCAAGGCCTTTGACCAGCCCAGTGTTTCGAACAAAAAAAATCGCCCGCCTGCTGCCTGCTGAAGGTCAGCCCTGAGCACCAAAGAGTCGTTTGTTTTCTGTTTATTTCTCGCGAGTCCTGGGTGACGGACGAAGGGCCAGCACAGCAAATGGTGTGTTTACCCATGGCCTTTTGACATCTTTTCACCTATCATACTAAGAACATGCAGGGGGTCCCCCCGAAATGCTTAAATTTGACAAGCCTGAAGAGTGAAAATGGCCGCTATGCCACACTGTCCTGCCCGCTCACAAGCTTGCCACGCCACACGGCAGTTCTCTTGGTACGGTCTGTTCAGTGCAAACGTCCAGGACACCCTCCCAAAAATGTGCAAAACAAATGCAGTTCTTACATGTCAGTTCTGTGAGACTCCGGTTTCACCATTGGTCCCGGCACAGAGTTCAATAACAGTTTTGCCCGCGGTGCGCAAGGCGAAAGCAGCGTACCTTCGCCAAAACGCGAAAGCCAACAGCGTGATTCGCCACAATCCGACACAAGCCTTGTCAAGTTCTCAAGCAAAGCCCTTGAGTCTCTGTGTCGCGCAGCCGCGGGTTGCATCTTAAACAACATGTTGCCGCAAGTGCGGTTGAAATGTTTTCGATGCCCTGCCCTGGTCAGTCAGGATGTTGGCTTCCTCTCAGAGAGTATCCATTTTCAGTGCAACACGCCTTGTCATGAATGCCTGGTGGGCTTGTTTATCCTTAAGTCATTTAGCAGATCCGACCCGCGGCAATTCTGCCAAGTGGGCCATGGGGGTGGGCGAGGGGTGATTACATCATCCTTGCAAAGCAATACTCGCATGTCACGAAGCTTGGGAAAGAGGGAAACCAGGGCATGTTTCCTGAAGAAACAGAAGACATAGAATTACAACATATTTTGCACGAGGCTTGAAACAAGGGGTTGTCGCAACCTTGTTGATCCAACCGACCAGGTTGTTGCCATATGCCGAAAGGCAAAAAGGTGGTCTCCAGTCATCAGCGAGTTGCGTTGCTGGCTGTTGAGCAGTTATGTTTTCCATATATTCCTTGAAAAGAAGCTGCAAGGTGATGATGTCCAAAGCCTGATTTAATTCCTGACTAAGCTGCGGCTGACCGACCCGACCGACCGGCCGACGACCAACCGCAAACACCACAAGGCAAAACAAAACAGAACAGAATCAAACCAACCAACCAAGCAAGCAAGTAAGCAAGCAAGCAAACAAGCAACCAACCAACAAAGCAAGCAAGCAAGCAAGCAAACAAAAAAGCAAGCAAACAAACAAACCAGCCAGCCAGCCAGCCAGCCAGCCAGCCAGCCAGCCAACCAACCAACCTAACCGACCGACCAAGCAACCATTCACCAACCAACCATTCAACCAACCAACCAACCAACTAACCAACCAACCAAGCGAGCAGGCGAGCGAGCAAGCAATCGAGCAAGCAACCAGCCACAAAAACAAAAGACATAAACAACACAAACAGCAAGCCGCTTGCATATTTCGCCGGGTCTCAAGAAGTCCTGGGGCATGTAGATGGCCTCGCAACCCACGGCTTGGGAGCTGGGAATATCAAAAACATCGCCGGCCCTGTGGCCCATTCCCCGATGCAAAACAGAAACCAGCCAAAACTAGGACAGATACGGAAACAAACAAGCTCATGTTCACCCCGTATTAATTAACCAAGCCCAGTTCATTAATAGGCGGGGGTGTCCCTGATTTTATTGGGGAAGCATCACTGTTGGAGGGTAACACGCCCCCCAAATAATAATTAAGGTGGGGTCAACATTAGGGGTGTTTGTGGCTGAAGGGACGCCACCCGATAAAACCACCCCGCCGGACATTGGCATCTCTCTCCTACACCGGGCCCCAGGCGGTGTCCAAACGGAAGGCGTCCACGTCGTACTCTCTGACCAGGTACTGCACGTACTCTAAAAGCATCTTGCGCACATACGGGTGCTCCTGGCTGGAAAGGCGGCTAGTGGCAAACGGTGACCCTTATCTACACCCCATACCCATACTTTTTTTGTTTGGGGGGGGGGGGGCAATTTTATAAGGGTAGAAATCGGCCATTAAAGGAAGAGGGAACCCTGTAATCACCGAGCTGCTATCGGCGTCATTTTTGGAGACTCGGAGCACCCTGAAATCCAAGCTGCTTTTCGAGGAAAACAATTGACAATATATTGTGGGAAGCGCATGCAACAAAGTTGAATTTGATGACACGTGCACCCGTTGCTCCATTGCTTTGTCCAAACAGCGCCCACCATTCCCGCCGGCAACCCACGCGCCGGAGAAAATGGTACTTGGGACTTGGATCTGCGATAGTACTGGATTTTGTGTTGTTCTTCTGCGGAGAGTTGAACACCCTGGTTGCCCCACTTCCTGAGTGGAAAGGCCAACCAACACCTTTTTCCATTGTTTATATAGTTTATCGCAATTGCTCTGTGGGTCTGTGGCCCCTTGATGTCATACCTTGCAGCTGGTGTTTGCCCCTGGTAAATTGCAATGCTCTCCAAGAAGTATTTCTTCCAAAGCCTAAATTGACAAACTCCAAAACTCAGCCCAAAGGCCCAAAGAAGCCGGAAAGCGGCAAACTGTTGGGCCCACGAAACCTGGGGGGCCCCAAAAAGGAGAAACATGTACTGCGAAAAAGGTTGTTCGCTTTCGGAAAAGGTCCTTCGCTTTGGGCAATGAATGGATGTGTGTCAACTTGCCCCCCCAAAATGCTGGTTGTCCTTCTTGTTTCCCTTTAAACCTGTCTTACAATTCCCAGCCTCAAAAACAAAAAAACAAATTGGCCAAACCTTGGCTTCCTCTTCTGAGGGTACCCTTTTCAGATTGGTAGCCAAAAGGCCACCATGCTGACCCCCCCCCCCCCTCCCAATCATACAACGACATACCAAAAAGCCTAAACTGGAATTGGGACCTTTTGAAACCGTTTCTGTGCTAGGGTTTTCCATGCAAACCAAGGACAAACCACCCACTTTTTGCAGGTTCGATTCCTATATTAAGACACTATTGGCAACCATACTTTCGAGGGTACTCTTTTCAGGTAGGAAATCCAAAAGAAAACCAAGCGGAAAACCACCAAAAAGAGAGAGAGAGAGAGAGAGAGAGAGAGAGAGAGAGAGCCAAAACCGGGGCAGCCCCCTTCCATTTGGCATTTCTCTTCCGTTTTCGGGTCCTGGTTCAGGTCTGCGAGCTGTCCGAACCAACCCTCCAGCTGCAGTTTCAGGTTGGCGCCCGGGCAGTCCGGGCCGAAGTTCCCGGGGAAGCAATTGCACTCCTCCGGCGCTCGCTCGCCGAGAAAAGTTCTTCGGGGCCGGAGTCGGGAAAACGGAAAACCCGAAAATCTGAACATGTGGGCTCGTCTTGTTGCGTTTGGTACCTGCTTCTTCTTTTGGTTCTGAAGGGAAACCAAAAGCACAACAGCAAGTTTCTGGGGTTCCCCTGAAAAAAAAATAAATAAAGGAGACAAACTGTGTAAAAAAAAAGGGGGAAGCCCCAAATTACCCCCGCCCCGCACGACTTGTCAGGACATGCAAGGGTTTAGGTTTAGGGTGTTCGGCTGTGTTTCGGAGTCGGGTTCTTTGGCTTTAGTTTAGGCGCTTTGGGGTTTTGGTTTGGGGGTTAGGGGTCTCAGGGTTTTTGGTTTAGGGTTTCTGGGATTTGGATTGGGGTTTAGGAAGCCGGGATCTTGGTCGGACCTTACCCCCCAAGCCTCAAACGCTGGCCCTGGGCAGCAGTTTGCACTATTGAGACACTCAAAATGCAAAATTTGTCGAAGGGTTCACTTTTTCCGAAGCTGAGCTTGCAAGTTGGGGTGCCGGGACCCTTGTCCCAACGCCCCAAAACACTGGCCCGTCCCGAGGAGCGAGCGTTGGGGCAAATCAAATGGAGTGGTTGTAAAAAGAAGCTGTTTCAAACAGGTACCAAGTTGGCTTTGGGAGTTCTTTACTTTCAATCAATCATTGGATCCTTCCTTGGAGGGGTTGGGATCTACATTGGAAGTCTTGAGATCTAAATACAGGCCTTGCCAAGGCACCCAAACAGTTTAGGAAAATAGGCGACTGTTGAGGAAAAGAACAAAAGACCAATCAGAGAAACAGGAAGTTAAATTTCAGGCTCCCCTCCAAACAGGTACCCGAGCTCAACAACTGACCAGCTGAGCTGACCGGAAACAGTTCAAGCTTTTTGGGCCCTTGACTACACGAAGAAAGCTGCCAAACAGCCGACACGTTGCCAAACTCAGGAAATGAGGAGAGGGGGAAAACACACAACAAACTGAACATGCGAACACGGCAAAAAGAAGATGAGCAACACCCAACATCCATTGACAGTTGGTTCTACTAACATGGTTGGAAAAAAAAGAAAAAAACAACTTTTGCTGGCAATAGTATAATCCGAGCTAAGTAGTAGAAACACAACTGGAATGATCAATGTGGGTATGCATTTTAATAAGGGGCCCTTTGGTGGACATCATTTAGGCGGGGATTCATGTCCATCAATCACTTTTGAGGTGGTTCCCGATTAAAACTCATGGCCATGTGGGTCTTGGAGCTGCGTAAAATATGTCAACCGACATGGGAACTTCTCTGCCAGGGCTCTGTGAGGTTCATGTGCGTGGGCCCGCCTCAGCTCACCGCGTTAAACGCCACACTCTGTGGGCCATGGCTCCGGGAATCCGAATCAGAGTCGTGAAAAGGGCCAGGTTCCAGCCACAAGAGGACCGCCAATGAGAACCATGTGTGTGTGTGTGTCTTTTTTTCCAAGCTTTGACTCGGAAGAAGCTTCAAGACCTGATTTGGGGACCCAGGGTCCAGTGGCACTCAACCACTTTGCATGGGCGACTGGCTTTTTGCAGCCAAGGCACACTTGGTAATGCCTGCCTTCACCTGCGGGCTGGATGAAGGCCAAAAGCAAAGACGGATCTCGATTCAAGCTGGTCAAAATCCATAGAGCGGCTAAGCAAGTTCCCTAGGCATCATTGGACTGTCCAGAAGGGCGGGGATCTCCATTCAAAGGATTTGGACCACAAAAACCAAGGCCTATTGAAGACTCTTCGGGTTTGTACGTTACTCCCAGAATCATGACTTGGATCTGGTTTTAAAGTACCCGACTCCATTCCCACTAAGGCCCGAATCATCGGCCTGCTCCACATAAGTCATAGGTCAAAGTGCATTACTTTCCAACGAAAAGCACAGCCCCCGCTAGGGCATCCTGATTGGCGCAAGTGTGCAATGAAAACCAGGAGTCAAACCCCAGTGGACCAACTGTTCAACGAGATTCTTCACGATTTGATTGGGGGGGATCCCCAACAATCCAACAAACTCGACCAAAGTTCACCTTCTGAAGCCTTGACCAACAGGGTTTCCTATAATATGTCCCCATCCATCACCCCACCTAGAGGAACCCCGGAGCCTTCCCTAAAACCAGCCGGAACGGTGACGCGGGGGAAAATGTGGAGCCCTGACTAACGATGACACCAGGCAACCAAACCGTCAGGTTTTGGTCGATGCTGGCTTGCACAAGCGAGAGTCCTCGTTACTACCTGGAGCGAAATAGGCAACAGGCAACATACAACATGTCGGCGTTCGGTAATCAGAAACAATACCCATCTTTCCAACAATCATAGAAGTGGACAGAGGGGGCGTTTTCACCACGACTCGAGTCTTCCAAAACCCTTGCGTCAGCTTTCATGATTGATGACATTACCGGGCATCGTGCCAACAGAAACACCAGCAATTCAAACATTAACCCAACACCAGCAGGGTGTGTCTTTGTTAATGGCAGCCCTCTTTGGGATCGTTTTAAAGGGACACCAACAAGCCACCAACCATTTTAAAGGGGTGGGGGCACCGCCAGCTTGAGCACCGAAGGGGCCCACTCAGAGTAGCCGGCCGAGCCACTCGCTCGCCCAAAATCTTGTCGCTGCCCTGACTCTGGGACGCCTCACCGCTTGCTCTCTCAAACAATTTCACCTTTCATCAGCTTCAACCCCGGTTTTCTCAAGCCTTGATTGTCTAGTACTGTGGATGGACAAAATTTCGCACCAGCTGAGATTGATGAAGCCTTGTAAACCATTGGGTGGACCACATGCCAACCGGTGCAGGATTTTGTCCATCAAAAGTAGGCTGTTGCCCCGAAAAGTGAAGGCTCCTCTTTCAAATGGGACACCCTTTTGATCAACCAGAGAGTTGCCCAGCCGTGCCCATTACCCACAAAAAAGGTTGCATGGAATGTGGGCTTGGGGGACTTCATCAATAGGTCACAAAGGGAAAGCAGCCCAGCTTCTGATGTTTCCAATCGCGCAAGAAACCACTCAAACTTGAGAGAACAAGCAGTCATGACTCAGTCATGACCCTTTCCCTTTGCAGGCACGACCCACACAAATCACCTTCAGAATGGAACTCCAGTCACGACCCCTTCACAGGGCAAAGCAAACAAACCCCCCTTCAGCACACAGTCAGGAATCGTTCCGTATATCACACTGGGGAAAAACTCACTACCCTCAACAAAAGACAGACCCACTTGTCTTAGCCAATGACAAGGATCTGGGAAGGTGCCACCGTAGTACATGGCACAATTCCAACATGTTGCCTTGCCAAAATGAGAGGGAATCGTGGCCAGCTACTTTCAGCCTTGTGTAAATCGGCGCGAAGGAAAACTATAGACAAACTCCTCCAGAACCCCAACAACTGTGTTTCCACTGTCTACGCTCACAAGTCCAAAATGAATAATTAACTGGCTCACATAAAATGCCTACCAAACCCCCTTGCTGGCGGGATCCTCAAAACCCCAATCTATTTGGTAGGACCACACTTTTTGGCTACCACTAAATTGTCCAAACCCTGAAAGCATAGGGTCGGGAAGTGAGTTGGTTCCCCTTTTGCAAGGCCATGGGTGTGTATTGTTGTCAAAAAAAACGCACACAAATGCCGGTTTTCCTTTTGCTCCTTGAATAAACGCAGAAAACTTGGGGTACCCCAACCAAAGAAGGACACATCACCGGGAATTCGTAGGCTCGCTCTTGCGCTTCGGCTCCCACCGACCTGGGCAACGCCTCCCATGACGTAGTCCCGAAAGGTGACGGCGGGAGACTTGCCGTAGGTATGGAAGTACTCCTAGCACGCGCCACTACTGGCCTTTGAAGGCACCCTGAAATTTGGGGTGTCAAATGGGAAACCAACTGGAAACCACATTTTGGGGGAGGGGTTCCATGGATGCTGGATGCCCGAATATGTGTGCCCGTGCGTGCGCATCCATATGCATTTCTGTAGTACTGCAACTTGCACCCGGGGTTCGAGTGAACCCAGTAAATCATGCGGAGCTTTTGAAGTTGGAGAAACGGACAATGGACATGTTTATTGTTTGACACGTTATACTCAAGTTAAAACAGCCAAACAGGCCAACCGGGTGACAGCTGGGGGATAGGGATTCCCTCGAAGCATTCGGCACCAACAAAGGAAGCCGCAGCTCTTTCACCAAGAAAAAGGACAGGAGGCGACCGCCAGCTGGCCAATCTGCTTGTTAGAGCCTCAAACTTGCGCCTGTGTACACTGTCACCTGCACTTACACCTATACCCCATACAAACAACGGCAGAGTACACCTTTGCCAGAAACTCGCCTGCACCCACAGTACGGATATGAAAACCACGTCCGAGCTGCTGTCTTGTTGAAGGGGTTGATCCCCTCGGGCCCCAGGTACGTCTTGATGGCGGTGGGCGTGTAATCCGTCTGCACCGTCATTGGTCGCACGTGGTTAGCCACGATATCCACAACCAGGCACATGCCTTGGTAGCTACCGGGTTGAACAAGTTTGGGGAAAAGACACCTAGTCGGTGGCTATAAGTGAACCTCCGGAAGGAAAATTATCACACGTCTGCAAAGAATGTCAAGCTTGTTTGGCCGTAAGCAAACAAAACAGTGCGGTCCGGCTGCGAACCGGTGAGCTGATAGCGGGTCAACCGCTGTTAGGTCAGCGGAGAAGCAACACTTTTGGCTTGTTCCTGCATGTTTGTTCTCACACGGTCCCAGTTGACAGGGATCGCAAAGGCATCTGTAGTGACTTCAGACATCACCAAATACAATGAAAATTCAAGTGGCCTGGAAAAACCCGGCCATTGGGAATGCGTAAAAATATCGGATCCGATCGTTGGTGTTTTGGCTTGCGATGTTCACAGCCCCATTTTGGGGCAACCCTAAAACAGCATGCGCGCCCTGCACTTCAGTTTAACAAAGATGCCCAACGAGGTGCTGGTGGTGGCACTGATGTCAAGAAGATGGCATAATACAGGTTGTTTCGTATTCACAAATCATCCATAAGTTCCAGCAATCAACATGTGGCTGAATTGGTAAGACAACCTCACTTCCTGAGTGGATTAGCCAAAACAAGTCCAAACATTGCATTTACTATCATTAAAATGGTCCAAGCCCCAAAAGAGTGAAACTCCGACCAAAAAAAAGAACAAACACATGGAGTGAACGGAACAAGTCTCTCTCTCTCTCTCTCTCACGCAACGGCATCAATGACCAGTTTGATCAACTTATGTCACGCAACGGCATCAATGACCAATTTGATCAATTTATGCCACGCGTTGACATCCATGACCTATTTGATGAATTTATGCTACGCACATACTGACCAATTCGATCAATCTTGGCCGCCATTTTGGCAGCTCCAATTGTGGCCACCAAGCCGCCGCGGGAGTGCAGGTCCGCGGAGAGCGCCTTCAAGTCCGCCTGAAGGGAACCGGGTCCCCGACAAAAACTGAGCCGTTGGGGGGCTGCAACGACCAAAGGGGTTGATCAACGGGTCCTTTACCATGGGGTGACCATTAGGACCACACTAAATGATGAGATGCCCCCCCCCCCCCACTAAATGGGGAAGTTACATGTCTTTGTTTTTTCCCCCGATTTGGGGGCCGAATGGAATATTGATCAATTTGCTGGGAGGATCTCATTTTACAAAGAGAGAGGCTCCAAGCCACCAAAAAGCTATATGCTAAGAGGGAAGTCTCATCCAAAGGGCTCTACTCCAAGAGGGCAGGGGCTTCCTATCCCTCAAGAACTAGGGCTTCCGCATCCCCAAGCCGATCCGACTTACTAGTTGAGGGTCCCGAAGAAACGCAACACCTCAGAAATCGATTCCACGGAGTTTGCATGATGAGCCCTGAAACTGAGAGATTGTGAGCAATCAGTACTTCCCGTCGTCTCACCACTGTGCCCCCCTTGCTTTTTTCCTGAAAGGGTTGGCTTCCGTTTGGAAGCTCCCCATCGCCCGTTTGCAGCGGGGCTTGGAGTGCCGCTTCTTACATCCAATGTTCGATGTAATTCAGCGGGGATCTTCCCGAATCTGTTCCAACTTGACTCTTAAATTGAGCCAATTTCAAAAGGGTCGTTCAAAAATCAGGTGGGTCGGCCAAAGTTCAAGCTCTGATTTGCCAACTGAGTAAAGTCCCCTCCCCAAAATGGGCCCCGGCTTAAGCCGACGCGCGCAGGTGCGCAAGTTGGCGCCGCCTTGGTGCCCCAGTGGGGGTCAATGTCAAAGAAGTCCTCGGCGAAGTAGCCGGTGTAGTCCATGGACTTTACCTCGCCGAATCTTTGGCATTGGTGGCGGGCTGGCTGGCTGGCTGGGTTGGGGGTGGTGGTGGGCCCCCCCAAACAGCTGTGAAAATTCTATGTAGTTTCGCCCGGGCCCGACTCTTTCTTCTTTTTTTTCTAAGGTCCTCAAAAACGAGCCAAGGGCCTTGCGTTCAGTTCACAAAAGGTCCACGCCAGGCATTTGGTTGAGGCCTTCAGGTTGAGGTTTTTGGCACGTGCCAATGGTCTTCACTACAGTGCATATGTAGGGCAGGGGGACTTTCCCATTTCTGGTATCCCCCGTTCTAGAAAACAACAACACAACCTGGGCCCCGACAAGCTGGGCGCAAGGAAAGAACCCATGCGCGTCAACCCCGAGAAATATTTGGATATTTGTCATCCAGGTTTTGTGAGGGGCCCTGTAGGCGTCTTCCATGCCTCCTGTTCTTGTTTTTGCGACTCAGGGCTGAAGTTAGGGGTTAAGGCATGCTGCTACAGTTTTGATGGTTTCAGGTTTTTTTTTTGAAGGTCAAAGCTTCAAGGTGATTGCTTCAGGCTTAGAACAAAGCACGTCAAAATATTTTTGGTGGTAAAACACGTTGGCGTTTTGTTGTTTTGGGACGGCAGCTAGAGATTGAAGTTTGGGGGTTGCAGAGTCAGCCTGCCTTAAAACACATTGATCAAGCTACGCGGGGGTGTGAAGTGAGCTATTTGCAGTTGAACATCTTTTCACCTTCTGAACCAAGCTGTCAAATCTCCTTGCTGGAACACTGCAAAAGGGTTAAAAGCAAATGCGGAATGCAAAGGTTTTGTGCCATACCAACAAGTTTCAATACATTCCATAAAGTTCAGCAAAGTCTTCGGCGAGGGCCATTTATGTTTCCGGGACAGGGAACAAATAGCGCTTGCCAACATCAGAAACAACTTAACTAATGGAGGCAAAACAAACGCAACTTGGAGTTCCACCCAATGGATTCATGTGTCTTCGTTTCCCGTTAGAAAACCAGCGAGGCGAATGCAAGAAATTCTATGGAGTCACGTTAGACAAGGTTTTGACTACTGGATAGCAAGTCCTGAGTGGATAGGTCAAACAAAGCCCAAACTGTATATGTTGCACTAAAATGTCGTCACAAAAGAGTTCAAAGTCCAACACACATCAAAGAGTAAGCTTTTATTTAAAATCAGAGAGCAAAGGCAAAGGAGCGACAACGGTAGCTGGCCGACTGCGTCACTCTCCATTGGCTCAGGGCAGGTCTGCCATGCATCCGCCCCTTTGTCAGCCATTCAGAAGTGAAGATACAAACATTTATCATTTTACTTGCTGGTTCGATAGGCAGGGAATGAGGGAATGACCCTGGCTATGGTTTCCTTTAAGGGAACCCCTAGGTTCATTCCCCAAACCCTGGGTCATTCTATACTGAGCACCAGCCAGATTATCCCTAAGGACGCTAATTTTTGTGGGTTCGTTGTTAGGCGTCAGGGAAAGTAAACAACACACAAACAACAGCACACTCTTGGGGTTCGTTGTTAGGTTCGGCGCAACATCTCGTGCCATGTCCAAAGAAACGAAAAAGCTGGCGAGCCAGCCGGACGCGAGGGTGTGTGTTCTCTTTTGGGTTGCATTACTGGGTCTTTCCCAAGCATTGGTGACCTTTCGGCAAAGTAGGTTTTTATAGTAAAACATTACTGACACCTATCTAAACCGGGTGCCATCAATTTATTTCCAGCCAAGCTAACACACAAAGGCCCCCTTTCTATGTTCCCAAACTGGGGCTCCAAAACTAAACCCCTGAAACCGGCGGATCGCCAGGTCACCACCGGGGTGATCCAAATGCAATCGAAGCCCATGCCCTCGATGTAGTCCAGCTGCTCCCTGATGCCTGCACGAAAAAACCACCCCAATGCGCAGGAATAACCTTTTGGTTTTCCGGTTTTGGTCCATATTTGGTGACCCAACCTTTTGGTTCTACGATTTCGGTCCATATTTTTTGTGGGCAAAAAACGGTCAGGTCTGTGGAACCGTGGAAAACACCACCAAACGTATCTGAACAAAACACTAATTTCTTCCCATGTGTTGAAAGGAAATCGGGCTCAAGTCCCTAAGACAATCACCCAGTTCGGATTCCCTGCCTGAGGTGTTGGTACTGTGTACCCAGGAGTTCCAACACTGGCAAGAACAAACGCGGGGGCTTCGGCAAAAATCCCCCATGAGGAGTTGAGTGAATGATTTCAAGCCGTCAAGTAGGGAAAAAAACAAACCCACCTCACCATCCTCCAATCTGAACAGCCAAAATGGTGACGTGCAACATGTGCTCGAACGCTCAACAACCGGGCCCCCTAAGGGAATTCATACAATTACACCCATTCGAACAAGGGTATGAACATCTTTGGCTGGTTCCTACCCTTGGCACCCTGAAAGCAACTGCCGGCTCTCTCTCTCTCTCTCTCTCTCTCTCGCTCTCCCCGATTTCAGGCAAAGGCGCCTTGCAGCGTGCCATTGCACCAGGCGCCCCCGTTGCCCGCGCGAGGGTCCGGAGACGTGGCCAGGTCGCAAAACTCGTAGTTCTCCTGGCGCTCTTCGCTCGGCGCTGTTCAAGTCAACTGGAGACACTCCTGACCTGTTATCCTTCCCCTCCCTCCCCTTACCCCTCACGGGAGGGAGGGGGGGAGTCAGATCACGTACCAGCCCTCTCATGGTGCCTAGAGCGTCTCATTATTGATCGTGCACCCAATACCCAAAATCGTCAGGTCTGACTGCTCGGTTGGTACTTCGATGTACCGTAACGGGCCACAGAAGCGAGTCATGGTGAAATCGGTCAAACGGCGGGGTCTTTTTGGAGGGCACCCTTTTTGGGTTGCTTTTGAAGGGAAACCAAAAGCAGACCAGACTTTGCCAACTTCTTCTTGTCGCCCTTTGCAGGGAGCCAAGCTGCATGGGCCGTTCACTCGTGACCCAGCTGTGGCCTGCTTTCAATTGATCTAGCCGTTTGTTGTTCACCCGAAGGCTCGACGCCGATGTTTATTGATGCGCTCACCCCGCTCCGCCCCGCCGCCCAGCGTCCCCTTGCGAGGGCTCCTTTCTACCACAAAAACAGCCCCTTTGCATCATGTACCAATCGCCCCGGTTTGTTCGGAAGCATTGTTTCGAGGGCCGCAACCGGATTCAACCTGATCTCTCCGAGAGTGTGGGATATCAGTGCCACCAGTAAGCAAAAAGCAACCGACTCGCCCACATTTGTGGAAGAGGAAAACACCAGAAACCAATGAGACCCCGAGACCCCCCTCCATTTAACTACCCGCTTTTTTGAGGGCAACTTTGGAACAACTGTTGTTTAGCCAGGGGCGTGATATCATGTGGCATCATGGCCCCACAAAAAATGCACATTGGGCGTAGGGGGGCTGTCTACCCATTGTGGTTGTCTTTTGTGCGGTTCCCAGCACCGGCCAACTGGCCAAGTTCCGGGCAAATCATGCAAACACCGCCAACATGTTCGGTTCACATGTGCGGGTTGGCAAATCGGGAAAAAAGGCCTGGATCGGCACTCCCCAACCACTGCCTTTTGGACAGTACTTTGGGCTTTGGGCATGGGAAGAAGCAGTTGGGGTTGAATGGACAAGGGCAAAAGCCCACCCTTCAGGATACTTGGGCAAACTTAGTTGGTTGCTGGTCGAGGACCCCGTCCTTGTCAGGCCCGCTTCTTGCGAAGCGGTCGGTTACAATAAAATAGATACTTCGGCCGGCAATGCCTCGGTGGCGATGAAGCAAAACGCTAGACCCCTTCTTTGGGTTCCAGGGTCAAAGAACGCCTGGCTATGTTGTTGATTTTTGTTTCTCCTGCTTTTCTTGCTGGTGCTCAGGAATAAGGGGATGACCCCGAGAAAAACCATCCCCTAAGGTTTCCTTTAAGGGACTCCCAAAACGGTTCATTCCCAACACCCTGCACCAGCAGGTTGTTTCTTGCTTAAGGGAAACCCAAAGCACGGTTCTCTTGGGTGCCCCAACTTGACACAAGTCCTGGGACATGTCCTGGGAACATGGAACAGGAGCCTGTCCAATGGTTGAAGAATAACCTTAGCTAGTGATAGTTTACCCTGTACTGGGTGCACGTCAGGACCCAACCGCGCTTCGTTTACCTCCCGCGAACACCGAGACCCGCGCTTCGTACGCTTCATGGTGCCTATGACCCCTCCGAACACTACCGAACCAAAGGAAACTCACGCAACATTGGCAACCAAAGGCCGAATCAAACTCTTCTCTTTGGCCCGAACCTTGGCTGACTGGTGATGTTCAAAATCAGCCAAAGAGAAGGTACGGATCCCTTCTCTTGGTGTAAAGGGTGCAAGGATGTGTTCGCCCCTGGCATGAACCCGTAGGTGATAGCTTGATTCAGCATACTGGGAAACCATGTTCCTCTCGACCCAAGTTGGGATTCCAAAAGCTCGCACTTAGAGCAACCCAGGAATCGATGCTCGCAAAGCAACTGTGCTCATCCAATTGCACCCCCAAGGACCTACGTTTATTGGCTTTTGCTCTTCTTTATCTCTAAAGCCGTGAGCTCGAAACCCAGATGAAATATAGACTGCTTTATTGGACATTTGGGGAAGTATCAACGTGGAAGCGCCTGGTGGTCCTCGCTGGTTCCCTTTACACGCTGAAATGGGTTGCCAACAAAATGCAGACCCACTTAATATGAACGCCATGAGGACCTAAAACGCTTCGAATAGGGTTGTGGGGTACTTGAAAGTTATCGTCTGAGAAAACAATATCATTGCGATATTTAGTTTAAACGCTTACCTTTCAGACACGACCACACGCAGGATCTGGCCAAGAACGGATTCCGAGATGCTGGGCTTCGCAGCAGCGCAAAGGCCACAAAGGAAAAGAAGCGGGAAAAGAAAGCGCAGCATCGCGGGGAAAAAAACGCGGTCGCCGTTCTATGAGCAAAATCCCGAGGAAAATCTAAGGCAAAGCTCTTGAAATGACATGTTTTTCATGGGGCTGAAACTGGTATCTGTTAATTCTCGTTGAAGTCCTGGGTGGTGCGGCATGCTTGCCACATATCTGCGGACTCTTGAGCCATTCGGGAAAGAAGTCGTAAGGTTCAATCCTCTTCCTGCGCCCTTCGGGGGAATGAGACAGCGCAACGTACTTTGGAGAACACATTCCCCTCCGGAAGCCATTCTGAAACGACATCTCTGGCTAGAAACAGCTGGGAATGTCACAAAATGATCTCATGCACGCCAAGACCCAAGAAAGAGAAGATGGTCACGGTTGGTACCTTGACTCAAAAATAAATTTATGGAAGCCCCGAATCAAAAACATTTAAAGCTCTATCCACCGATTCGATCGGCCCCAAAGGGATAGAAACTTCGTCCCTGAGAGGAAAGTAAAGGGCGCCGTGCAATTCTGTGCCTGAACGGTGATTCCTGAAAAGGGACACCAAAGGACACTGTCTTTCTCTCCCGGCTTTGGCCATCTTTTGGGGGCGATCAGAATCGAAGAACCCTTTACTGAACCTTCCAGGATCCAAACCTGAAAGGATCCCCGCCATACGGCCATGGGTCAAAATCCTGTACCGCCAGCCAACATCCCAATCCCCACTAAAATAGGTTCTAAAATGGGTGGTGCACCTACCCAAAAATGGTACCATTGGTTTTGACCCACCCGCCATGAGCCCAGGTCCAAACATCATACCTTTGCCCGCTGATGCCGCCGGCTTTTTATCTTTTTCCGGCCAGCCTAAGACATCAATCACCCGCCAACAAGGAAAGACGGCCATAAAATAGGGAGAAGAAAAAGGCAAAAATGAAACCTCTTGGTTAAGGTTAACTTCCCTTACTAAGCAAAAGGAACCCTACTCAGCTGCCCAAAGGATCCAGAAGTAAAAAGAAAACCTTTTGGGGCCAGGACTAAACATGGACCAAAAGGGGAGACTGCAAGGTCAAAAGGTCGATCTGCCTTGGGCAAGTGAGCCCAACATCTTAACGACTTGGTTCCCAAAACGCGCGGTCCTCCCGGCTCAATCGGAAGGAAACCAGATACAACTGGCGGGTTCTAAGGATACTAGGATAAACCCTTAGGCCTTCAAATGCTGCGCCCCTTCTCCCCCAAAACGACTGTTCCCCATGTTCCAAATCCATCACCCCCAAAAAGGAACCCTTAAAGGGAATAGAGCTGCACAAAACAGCCCTTGAAGCGTGTTTCGTAAGGCCATCGCCCTCACACACGGTAGCGGAAGCAAACTCGTGTGACCCACCCATCCTCACCCGAGCATCATTCCAAACGCTAAGATAAGGACCCCCTCCAAGATTCGGGTCTGCCTGGTGAGCTCGTTTTACACCCCCTTGCGCTCAAATAGCCACAAGCAGTCATTGTCATCTGAGCACCCTGCCTGTTTGGGGGAAAGCCACCAGCCGCTCTGCTCTAGGCGATTCCAACATGTCGATAAGCCGGAGTGGATTGGCCTATCCCCTTTAAAGGCAAAATAATATTTATCATTTTCCAGGGCGCCTCTTATTTTGACCCCTACCCACATGTTTGCTAGTCAGTGGGAAGCTAAGCCTTTTGCTCCACACCTAACAATCTTTTCCGCTTGAGGCTGAGGGCCTGAGAAAGGTCCACCTCCGCCCCCATTCCGAGATAGAAGGGCCGGGGCAAGACTTTTCAAAGCGCGCCGGTTTGCCGTCAGTCAGACCCTGGGTGCAAATCACGCGCCGGTATGAGCCCGTTTTCGTCAGAGCTAATCTCCGTTGCCTTGGGAGGAAATGCGGTTAGCAGGTTCGGAGGGCTTAGCCTCTCCATTCCGTGAAACAGCCCCACTAATCACATCAGAGTCCAAGTGCCTGCTGATACATACCTTGCACGCACAAGCACACAGCAAGGCCACGCTCAAGCAAACAGCTAACGCCCAAACACATGCAAAAACCCAGACGTGGGACAACTTGGCTTCCTCCGGGTTTGGATGTTTGACATTTCGTGAGTTCGCACGTCGCGCCCGAATTCACCGACCTAAGTCACTTGCAGTCAGGCTGAGTCCCCGGCTGTAGAATGGAGCCTCCTTGTTCTGCAGCATGAGCACGTCATCCCCCAAGTCCTGCCGCGGCCAAAGAAGGTCTGAGGTGATTTGGCTGTTCCAGACATCGAGATCCTCCAAACATGTGCTTTTCTATCTCTTGGGGCTTGGCTTAAAACCACGGCTTTAATGCTCTTTGAAGTTGCCCTTTGAGACTGCCGGTGTTCGGGCAAACCCCCGCCCTTTGGCATAAAACACCTTCCACATTGGCATAAAATCCCTGCGATCCAACGAGAAAGGGGTGGCACCTCCAGCAAAAGGTGGCACTTGGACGGCGGGGATTGCCCAAAAGGCGAGGTTGCTCAAATCACCCCAGGGGACTGAGTTGCCAAGTTTTAGGTGATCACTGCAGGAAACCGGGTGCCAGTGTTGCCACGAAAATTGAAATGGGGGGGGGGGGCGGCGGCTGTTCCCACCCCTCCAAACCTTTTGGCCACGATGTGCATGCCCAAAAGAACAGCTGAGGGGGTCGGCGGGTTTGCAGGTGTCCGCGTCCTGGGTGTTAGGCATGCCGTCCATCAAAGGCACCGTGGCCATGTTGGCCTCAGCTGCGCGCCCTTTGTATGGGGAAGATCAGACAACTGGATATGATCCAATGGGTATTCACAGCTCTCAGCAAATTACCAACTCACCAGAAAATACAGCAAATACGGAATCTGTGCAAGTGCATTGCGGAGCATGTTCCGATACTTAACCCAGGTTTTGACTTAAGCACCAAACAACAGCCAAAATTATCGTTTTACATGAGGACCGTGCAGTGGCGTTTCGACTGAGAAAAGTCAGTGGTTGCCCAAAATTGCACAAAGAACCCTGCAGAATCGCCCGAATCGAATCGACTGATGCTCATGCCAAAAGGCGATGCCGCAGGTGTTCTTGCCAAACTCCAAGTAGATGTAGCCATTCTCTCCTGTCGCATTGCTCCAAAACCACGGTAGAAAGCCAGCGCAACTCATGGATCTCCCCGGCCAACCAGGTGTGGGGCTGTCCCCTATGGCCTGTCCCCTCATCCGAGAGGCTCCCTCCTATAGCGCCTCTATAAGGCCAAGAAAAGACGAAAGGAAATCTTCGAAGCAAAGGGAAGTACCCCAGAGGGAAGCTGGGCGCCACGTCTCAAGCTGAACGATTGGGACCACGGCATGTCTAGGGGCCACGGGAAGATACAAACCAAAAAGGCAAACAGTTGAAAACCAGGGTTGTTTGAGTCTGGCAATGTACTTTTGGGGTTCCAGAGTGCCCGCCCACCACAAATAGAGGGGGATTATCATCTGCAAGCTTTGGACAACCACAAGCACTAGCAAGCTGAAGCAAGCTGAAGCAAGCTGAAGCAAGCTGAAGCAAGCTGAAGCAAGCTGAAGCAAGCTGAAGCTATACTTCACGGTTGCGGCTACTTGGTGCCAACGCTGGTGTCTTTTCCAAATCGCAGCTGAACAAAGCTAAAGCGTTTTGGACTCCATAGAAGCGTTTGTCTTTCAGTATGGCTTTGGCTCGCCAATCCGGGGGAATCCTCTTGCTTGCTTGGTTGGCATGAGGGAAAGTGTGAACTTGGCTTCAGTCAGTTTCGACATAAACAAACTACATCATGACCCTGTAGAATCGTGACTGAATTTGGATTTGAAGCTCCCACCCCATTCTATCATCAGGCCCTTCTAGGTCCAAAAGAGGGACACCAAGTGGCGCTTTCACTTTCAATTGTGCTTTGGGACGCTAGGAAGACACCACCCGTTCCGTCTATGGACACGGGAAACGTGGCTTTTGCGGATCTATAATATAGATGCGCCCGCCAAAGACGACTTTGCTCAGTCGGGCGTTTAAAAAGAGGGGCTCGCAAAGTCCAACAAAAAAAAAAACGTCTTGTCCCCTGTTGGTCTTGCTTAGTGGCTAGAAGCGCCATGTGACTTGCGCCAAGACTCCCCAAGTCGTCGACCACTGATTCCGCACGATCCAGTAGGGCAAAGCGCCGCTGGTGTTATACCTGCAAGTCTGGGGAAAGACGCGGAAGTCGGTCCCACCGTAGATTTTTCCTGGAAGTTGCGCAAGCAAATGGATTCCCACTGTATGAAGCTCACAAGTTCCCAAAAAGGAATATCACTCCAGAGAGACATAATTCAGATTGACAATCCGAAGGTGATGCGTTTGCCTTCCAACACCTAACGTATATCAAAAACCAGCCCCTGGCCATGCCCTTCTTCCTTCGCACGCTTCGACTGCGTGTCCGATAGGGAGCCACACCAAATAACCAATGGGAAAAAACAAACACAACACGCAACACATTGCTGAGTGGGTTGGTCAACAAAAAACCAAAACTGTTGAGTTACCACTGGAATTCTCCAAACCCAAAAAGTTTAAAAGTCCGGGAACCCGGCAGTGAGACCACCACCGTTCATCGTTCCGAACGACGACACACGTCGACCGTTCCGAACGGCTCAGATCGTTCCCCCGCCCGGTCAGCTGCGCCGCGTGGTCCAAGTCCTGCCACTCGCTGCCGGCACAGGCCTTGTCCGACATCACGCCGCCTGAATGCGTCAAAAGGGAGCGGCAAGGGGCCATGGGGACCCAACCACCCAGGCTGGGCTTTAAATGAAAGCAACATGAGCCCAGGCAGGGTGAGTTCCTTCAAAGGAAATCAATGGAACTGAGCCCAGGGTGTTTGTTGTTTCCCAACAAAACGCATGGAC